TTCATGAGCAAATTAAAGGTTGGGCATGGTTTTACACTGTCTTCTCGAAACGTGTAATACCCACTGAGCTGAAACTTCAACAGGTTAGGTTGTGAACATTCTTCTTTGAATTTTGAGTGGTGTTATTATTAGAAAGAAAGTAAAAAGTTAATGATCCCATGCCTTTAATGTGCTGTTTACCAGAGACTAACATTTTTAATGGCTTTTCCAGAGGTGTTGTTTTTCTTTTCCACTACCATCTACCAGATTGGCACCTTTTCGCATTGACATATGGATTTCAGATCACTGCAACTCTTGCCATTATCAAAAGTATATTGAGGTTGTTCTATATTTTATATTGCTAATTCTTGGACACTAAATTTGACATTGTAAAAATGATCTGGACATATTTTTTCATCACTCACACCTCCATTAATATGGAACAGTGCATGATGTGCATGTACCGGTACTTGCAGTGCATCCATTGTGCATGCATGAGGCACACCCTGTAATAGTCAGAAGCACAGCATTTCACGTCCTAGCTGTTACATTGCAAGAATTGAATTTCATTTCTTGCAGACTGAATCACATTATGATAACAAGCCATGAGCCACCCTGGATGGAACATGTGTTATTCACTGCCTCGAGGACAAACACTGCATACAGTTTCACATTCATCACCTTCCCACGTACCGTACCGGCCAATCAATGATTTCTAAATGTCATCTCTCTCCATCCAGCAACAAGACACATGCTAACTGACATAGCATCATTAAACATCTCGTACTGTACTGTCTGGATGCCTTAAAAGGACTGGTATGCCCGGCATTGGCTAGCTGAACTTAATATGGAGAGGTATTTGATATCTTGAGTGACCTTTCCGGAACCAGACTATATCTCGTGCAGCATCTCGTCTTAAAAATAGACGAATGGTGTAGTGATCTGTATGAGGATGCGATCATGCGAGCATATATACATTACGTATGCTGTCCCTATACTGATTGACCAAAATGATGAATCAAAACTGAAGGGTCAATGTTTGGGCTGAATTTTTTTCTGGGAACCTTTCTGAGTCCTGCAACATCCTCCACTGTGTAGAAAACACACAATGACAAACTGCTACTTTCAAGGAGCAGCAAGCCTCATTTTAAGCAACACTAGCTACATGTAGGCTGTTCCATTATTCAATTCTACCGTACATGTACCTTTAAAATCCTCCTTTGATTTGCAAAAACTGCACGAGGGTTACACCAAGACTGAGCTATGAGAAAGTTTACGAACAAGTTGGCAAAGGCACACCCGGGTTTGAAACCAGGAGGATAATGTTGTTTTTAACTTTCTGAAGTACATTGTACTGAGTATTGAGTTCCATAATTACACCTTATTTAAAAAAAAATTGAAAAGGGTGTAGGGCTCTACATATGTACAAGTGCTTTTAAAATGGTAGCTTTTTTTTAATGTACACGTACATGTACATGTACATGTACAATGTAGGTTTATTATTTTGCATTAATTGCCACAAACCATATATCCATAGTTTTGAGCGTTTCCTTGACTGCAAACTTTCCAAACGGGAAATGACAGTTCATACATCCTGTGACCATGGCCTTCGCCCCTTGAACAAAGCCAGGGCTGACTATACTACAGTTGAGAAGTGACTCAAAGTTCCGTGAGTGGGGTCACATGGGTTCAGGGGTAGGGTAAATAGCTAGAGTAGGGGCTTGTTGAATTTAGATAGCAGCCATGTGAAACCAACTGACTAAACAGTTAAGATGTGACTCAAAGTTCCGTGAGTAGGGTCACATGGGTTCAGGCAGAGATGCCAACTTTACAGACAGCAAAATAGTAATGATTCTTCCTGCAAAGAGTAATGCTAATGTAAATACATGGGACAACAGTCAAGTTTAACAGTAACCACAGTACTTTTCAGGGTAACCACAATGTTGGCGTATGGGACAGCTGGAATTTTCAAGAGTAGTAACACGCTTCAAAATCCTAATAATTACTCCAAAAGAGTAATGGTTGGCATCTCTGTTCAGGGTAGGGTAAATAGCTGGAGTAGGGGCTTGTTGAATTTACACAGCAGCCATGTGAAACCAACAGTCATGTCCGCGGTTTCAGGTTTCAGGCTGATTTCCATACTATTCGCTATTACAATGTATATGGCCTTTAAAAATACAAGGCAAACCTTAAAAGAACTTGAAATAATAGTATGGGGAGGTCAGACAATAGGGAGGTTTCGCAAGCGAACGGATACGCTTACACTTACGTTTAGCTATCCGTATCCATTTTTTACTTACGTGTAGCGAGCGAGATACATGTATGCGTGTCGTCTGCACGTTTAGCGGATAGTGAGTGGCGTATGATGTCATAACTGATGACGTATCCATCGCACTAAACGTATCCGTTTGCATGCGAAACCTCTCTAATAACCCGAGGATTGTACTTGTACTAGCCACTGGTACCGGTACAAATCTGAATTCAACAAATGGGCCCTTTAAAATCCTCCCTCTTATCTATGGCTTGAAATTTTAACGAGGCCATGCAGCCAGCAGTCAAAACAATTCAAGTGACTGTTTTTATCAGTTGGGTGCTCCCAGCCTTCATAAAAGCAGCACTGGCTGGCTGTGATTGTTAGGAAACCTGATATAGCTTTGCTAGTATGCTTTGACTGTAGGAGATAAAGCTGGATGTACCTAGGCCTATACCAGCTAATCTGCTTTTGTCTATTGATGGAATATGAGTATATAGTCGCGGTGCCTATTGAAATATGATCCGACCGTTCATGACTAGCCTGTGTAAAAGGCATGGCAGGGGAACAGACTGAAATTTGTTGACTGTCTGTGACTCATCAAACAAAAGGAAGGTGTTTTAATGAGTTCAATCGTAATGAGAACTATATGGCAACAGACGGTTACATCTAGGGCTAGGAGAATCTTGTCATAAGCTGAAATGAGCTCAATTTGTCATCAACCTAACAATTTGCATTGCTTGAATGACAACTTCTGGTTTTACAGCACATTCTAGTTGAGGTGTCAAAATGAGACTTGTATTGTGGAGAGAGAATTACCTGAAACAGATCAATTTCTAATTAATGTTATCAATAAATATTGTTTCTTAGTACATTTACAATGTATCTTACTGGGGAAAAACAAGAAGGGGGGCGGCAGCAAAAAAAAAGAAGCAAATTGCCCTCCACAGTGGCATGGGGCCAGCAATAAGGTGCTATTTAGTAGGCTATTGTTTCTATCAGTATCATTATTATTATGACCCCATACCACACAAAAATATACGGCAGCAACAGGGTTGCTTTTAAAAAAAAAAAATTGATCAAATTTTACTATTTTTATTTCAATGTTTATTTTAAAAATCAAGTTACATGTACATCAGACAAATTGTATTGTATTGTATACTGTATTTTTAGCTCTGTTGTTCTGGGTTTTTTTAGCCTTGTTTAGATCATTAAGCATGAAATGATGCATAAAAGCCACTGAAAGGTGACTAAGAACTGATTTTGATGTTCTAATGTTTGACGCTTAATGTATACACTCCACTGCAACCTACAAGGCTATAGCAAAAGGAAATAAAATAAAATATAACAACCAACAGGATCCGATGTATTTAAACAAAACACCAGAGCGAGCAAAAATATTAATCACAGTTAACAAAAAAAATGTAAACATGACACGCACACTTTGATAGAATCCTTAATCTATTAAAGGGAAGATACAACATTTGCAAATATCAAAAAAACCGAAATGATCAAATTATCACGAAATATCTTACTGGATTATTAGGGAATGACAGTCTTAAGCCTCCTGTAAAGTTGTGGCCCCTGGTGTGCTGACATTTTCAAGAAAAACTGTATTTTTCCAACGCTGGTCGGCTGACCAGCTTTGGAGAAAACTGGATTTTTTTCAAAAAGTGCTCCTAATTTTTTATATTTAGTTCATCTGCATTTTCTTTGCTACTGATTACACACCTGTGAAAACTACAAGCCTGTTAGACTTATTCTCTGATCTTACAATTCCCCTAAGTCTCTAAATTGCTCCGTTTCATCTTAAGTGGGGTCAGGGAACCAGACTACAAGAATATGATTGGTTATCTAGGTTTTTCCAGCATCTACGAACCCAAAACGTGAAATAAGTCAGTGTAACAATATTTGCTATAACATACATGTACTTATCCTCCAAATCCATTTATTTCTGAAAATTGCAGCAAAAGCAAATGTTGTACATTCCCTTTAACAGAGAAATAATAGCATAATTTACAGGTACCGGTTTCTACCGGTATTATAAGGCTTTTATGGTGTCATACGCTTACAATAGGCTGTGATAAAAATTAGTCTATGCATGCGATTATGCAAACAACACTGCATCTTGACCTTCAAGTTCTGGCCATTGAGCGGGCGCCTTCTATCATGTCTTTGTTAACCCAATGTTGTATGAGAAAAACATGGCAGCTATTGACCAATCAACAGCTCTGGCCAAATTTCTGCTCGAAATGACGTCACAACTTCTAAAGGGGGCTCCGATTGGCTAGCGTGCTGTGTCGCATAAAATTTACATGCACAAATCAGACATTTGTAGTGTGGCTCTGCACACCTGAAGGTCTGAAAATCAGACTATTACGTGTGGGAGGGAAAAAACCCACAAGTTTACAAGTAAAGTCGAATGTAATGAGTCCCAATATATTGTGTCACAAGAGGGCGCTATGTAACAAATGGGAAGATGACATTTGAGGACAAATTAGAAGATCAGGCTGCTTCCATGATCAGTCAATTCCTGCATTACAAGTACAAACTAAACCGTTAGTCCCTGTACCACCACAAAACTCCCTAATGTTGCTCCCAATACTGCCCCAGCACTCTATGGTTTTAACCAAAGCCCTATGAATGAATGAAATTAAAATTGGAGGATCAATTCTGTTAGGGTTAATGATTCATCTAGGAGTAAATACAGTGTAGTACAATTTAACAAAAATGCTGTAATATATCAATGCAACGATAATTTTACACTCACCTTACTGATGCCAAGTTCGCGGATGAACTTCCAGACATCTTCGGACGAACCGTAGGATTGATTTCTTCTCAAGATTGGATCCAGCTTTGAGTCTGCTGCTAGATCAGCCTACATCCCCAAAAATAAACCAATTCCATATTTTTTTTTAATAAACAACGAATGAATATCAGAACACAAGCTGTGTGGTTCTGTTCTTTTATTAACCCTAACTCCCTACTGAGTACGGGACCAAATCTGCCAAAATCCATCAATCACACTGCTTCCAATGCATGCTTTGCTTTAGGCCTCCAGGCCCAAGTCCATCACACTCCATCAATATTTAGTCAAACCAGGCCTGCAGGACCACGTCCTTCAAACTCCACCAACATGGAGGGATGGATTTTGATGGAGTTGGGGAAGTTAGGGTTAAAGGAGCAACTCTTAACCGGAAAAGACTGTAACTTTTTCAATCTAAAGTCACATGCAAAATTTTACAAGCAGTGCTGGAGTTGAGTGGTTATAAGGGCTGAACAATATCAACGGAATGCCCTTGTCACATTTAATTTGCATATTTTGTAAATTGACTTGGGACTGGAAGACTTGCGATGGACTAATGATGACAGGTGGAGGACTCAACTTCAACACACGTTACAAGGATATCAACTAATAATAGATTGATGCAGGCACAGTATTACTGTTCACTCACTGAGCCCAAGTACATGGCAGGCATGCAACTTTCCTCGGATCCACTGATTTCCTTGTTTTTTTTACTTCTCATGAATGCCATTGCAAGTTGAAAACCACCGTATAAAGTCTTGTGTGGTTTGGAATTACCTCGTTTTTTTCTGAAGTCCCAGTTGCATGCCTGGCGTGGGGGTAGATATTGTACAAAATGGTCTGTGAGTGTTATTCGTGACTATGGACTCTGTGGACATACAGTAGCTGGTGGTTTGTGACAACTTTCAAGGGCCCCATAGAAAGGAAACACCCTGTGGATTTCGCACAATCTAACCCTCCTAGTTGGAGGTCAATATTCAGAGCAATATGTAAAACCCACTAAAACCCTGCAGGTCAGTTGCAGGTGAAGGGATATAAAGTGTTAAAGTGTCACAGAGAGAGTCATCGCACACACAAAAACACCACTGTGGAGAGCACAAAAGCATGACTGAATCTGCCTGCTTGCCTTGAGCTTTAAGAATTGTGCAGGGATTTAAAGTGATATTTGTACTCAACAGAACATTACCTCAAAGGAATTTGAAGTGTGGGAGCTCTATGGGCAAAGTGGTTTTGCAAAACTTGCAGGGTTGGGTAAAGTGCAGAAGATTTGTAGTATATTCGTGTGAGTGTCAGGTGCACTCCCTTCCCCCAGTAGCCTCCCCAAACTCTCACTTTGTAACTGTTGAGGGGGTACTTCTACTGGGCACATGCGCCCGTGATTAGATTTGGGGTCCGATAGGTCTACATTGTTTTGTCTATACATTTCAATTCAGGTGGCTTACCTTCTGTTGGAGGAATTTATAACACTGCTGGTTGAGGACTTCCACAAACTCAGACTCGAAGTCTTGGTCACTGTACCAAGCACCTCCAGTCACCGACCGATCAGGCTCCAAATTGAAAAGCATGTACACCTTCCTCTTTGAGGCCTGGATCCAATGGCAAAAAAAAGTACATTTGCATTCAGATTACACCACACATGTACATAAGCTTCTGTTTCTTGATTTGCCAAGAACCAAACACGTAGTGCTCTATTTCATCATGCATTTCGAAAAGGGTAACACCGTGACAGTTTTGTTCAGAAAAGCACACACAGCCTCCCAAGTATGATACCATGAACAACCAGAGGTCTGTTGTGCAAAAATAAGAACAGAGTAGGGTGCAAGTATTTCATCAGGTTTAAGCTTAGAGAAGCGCAAGTGAATCTTCAATGAATTTCAAACTGATACAGAACTATAAATTTGCTTCGGTTTTCAGTTCAATTCATAACAATAGTAGTGCTTATATAGCACTTTCCATTGTATCAACGATCTCAAAGCGCTTTACAATTATTACCCCGTTCATCAGGCCATGGGACCACGCGGCAGCCGATATCAGCGCTCAATCGGTCCTCAACCCTCACAGGTACCCAATTATACTCCTGGGTGGAGAGAGGCAATTGTAGAAGTTTACGTGTCTTGCCCAAGGGCACAAACACAATGTTCCTGGTACGGTTCCAACCCACGCACCTTCGTACATGAGTCAAACACCGTAACAACTGGACCATGGCATTCTACGTTCATCAGATTATCTCTGGAACTTTGCTGGATCTACTGGTGGGTCGTTAAACCACAAATATTGATTACTTTAAATCACGGTACTCTACTTTACGCTCGGGGATAAAAATATCTAGTTTAAGCAGGTGAAATGGGAGAAGATAAAGATAAGAGGAACTCACTCCGACAGACTTGACAGCTTTGATGAGGTTACGACTCTCCAGCGTCTTGAGGATCTTGTTGAGCTGCGTGAGGAGGAGGTTGCTACGAAGCCTGATGTCTCGGATCCAGATGCCTTTGTTGCCAGCCTCCTCAATGATCTGATAGACCAGTCTCTCCTGGTTGTCAACGCCTTTCACTTTACTGAACAAACACAGAATGGACATAGTTAACGAAAGTGACGGCTGCTGAGCACCCCAGATCCATTTTTGGTGGTCCACAAAGGGCCAGCCAGGTGTCCTACTTGTACCTACATATCTAACTCGCTGACTGACTGATTATCACCTGTGCTTATACTGCTTGTAGACTGGTGAAGACAGCGGGGCAGTGCTATCGTATTGGATTACCCCATAACGCAAATAAATGATCTAAATCCGGCCCATTGTGTAGACCAGATGCATGAAAAGACTTCCAGTGAATAGGCATTTTGGTTTCTGAGAGCAGCTTTACTAGGTTTGCCTTTCTTGATTTTCACTCAAGACAGGGCTGAAGACATCTGCTCAACGTTCTCTGCCTAAGAAGTACCAAGAAGACTCAGACATAGGTAAAAAAAACAACACTTTTGTGCTATAAGCCTTACCCTGGAAAACACTATAACCTGGTTTACAGACTAATTTGGCAAACAAAATATGAAGCCATTGTTGAGGTGGAACGGCATCCAAACCATTCAAAACGGCATCCAAACCTAATCCATTAACCCTAACCCTCCAGGGTATTTTGTCTAGAATCCCTGCCAAACGCAGCAACATGCAACACTTACAAGTCTTAGCTTGCTCAGTGTAACAAAATCCATCAGGTCAAAAGTCTCAAGGCCAAACTGCCTCAGAGTCTGTGGTTCCCGAATGCAGCAGGATACAACAGTGGCACTGTTCAATGGGACTACCTTTAGCTCTCATTGTTTCTGAAGCGGTTGTTTATTGACTGGTGTTGGTAGCTGAATGCACTAAAGAACACCAGACTTTTCCACCTGATGCACTGTGTTGCGTCTGGCAAGGTTAGGGTTAAGCCCCATCTAATGATGTTTTGAACATTCACAGCTATCACTGCGCAACCAACTGATCAACAGGAGTCTAACATGCCCACACTTGTGACATCTGAGAGGCGCACAAGTTGTTGTCCATGTGTGCTGTGAGTGGGGCTTAACCCTATCCATCCCAACTCCATCAAAATATATTTCCCCATTTTTTTGGGGGGGGGGGGGAGGAAGAGATTTTGGAAGGCAAGCCATGAGTACCAATACCAAAATCCTCCTATAGCAGTGGTGGATTTGTGGTGGATTTTGGCAGATTTGGTCCTGAAGTTTGATGTGAATCAGAGTCAGTGATGGATTCTAGCAGACTTGGTACTGTTCTTAGTAAAACTCAGTGGGGATTCAGGGTTAATAGATCAGTCTATTAAAGAATAAAAATCTAATTGTAGATGTGTTGGAATTTGTTACCGGAAGGCTTGACATCCACCTGCCTAACCCAATCAAAGATGTACACCAGTCTCAATGACAGACATCTACTTGCCTGATGGAGGATGGATCTTTGAGTCTGTACAGCAGTTCAGAGCCTTGCTTCACCAAATCTATCTTGCCCTGAATTGAAAAAAAAGGTTTTACAATGAACATCTGAATACAAAGTGAAAAGTGAATAAAGGTTCGAAGCTGCTCACATGTGACTTATCAACTCTGTCCCAAATGTGATCAAATGCAACCATAGAGCTCTTTTAAATTACTAGAGTACTATCTCGCTGTACAAAGTGATGCCTGCTGGGCACATCCATGTTTGTGCACAAACCTATGGAAAACTCAAAATTTAGTACCACTTTAGTAAGGCTATTTGCACATCTGCGTTTGTATTGTAGACTGGTGGGTCACCCAAAGCCAATACGCCCAAAACCGAAATACACAACCACTAAATGAGCGTTTTATTTTGCTCAAAAACGCAAAAATGTGTTTGTGAAAATGTGTCTGCGGAGATTTCACACCCCTGCTTATTATGGATATTGGTTATCCCACAAGCACAAGTAGAACTTTAAAAAATGGGTTCTATACTGAACAAAGACACATTACTTTTTAAGTGCTCCGCAAGTGCGAATTGGGACAACATCTTTATCTTCATGCAAATTTGACGCACAGCAACGATATGGGACGCCTAGTCCAAAAAGTCGACAAAGAAGTGAGCCTGACCTGGGGATGAGGTTATGTCACACTTCGGCAGTGAATTGCAGCGTATTGCGCTAAGCAGGTATGAGCTAGCTGCAGTCAGGCTTCAACTCAACTTACCAGTGACAGCAGACGATTGATAGCTTTGACTCTCTGCTGAGCATCTATGTGGGGTAGCTGCTGTTTGATGTAGACATCAGCGACACCTTTAGTCTCTTCCTTGCACATCTCCAAGATACTAAGTAGAATGACGAGACAAATAAATTAGGTGATAGACTATTAAATTCCAAGCAATGGAGATAAAACTAGAGCTGTATGTCTGTTTGAAAACAAAACACAGGGCTTTTCGCATTTTACAAATGTTTAAGTTTTGTTGGTCCTTTTGCAGTCACTTTTAGAGTGCATCATGCAGTTAACATGGTTAAAGGTTGTTCAAAATGCTTAGAATATTTCCTAAAATATCATATTTTTATCACATGACGCCACATGCCCAGCAATGACGTCATCTTGACAACACTTGTCAATGCACATTTTGTCATTGTGGTCTTGGTTTGTATTAAGTTTGACGTCAATCCAATAAAAGAAAGTGTTCAATTTTGAAAGCGGGATGAAATTGTAAATATTAATTAAAAAAAAAAAAACACATTAAAAATCAACCGATGACGTCATGGTGACGTCATTTCGGATTTTGCATACTAGTACCATTATCTAGCTACATCTATCCACCAAGCTTCCTGAAAATCGCATTTTGATGACATCATGATAACGTCACATTTTTTTCAACATTTTGTGCATATACCTTAACCCAACAAACCAAATAAAAAAAAGAATTTTCTATTTTGCATGTTACGTTTGTGAGATATGGCTTCAAGGTTCAATAATTCAAATATTCATATAAAATCGCATTATGACGTCATAATGGCGTTATCATGATGTCATCTCATTTTTTACCTTTAACACATCCCGGTCTACCCACATACCAAGTTTCAACCCAATCGGACGTACTGTTCTGTAGATTTAGGATTTCAATATGCACGTATAATCAGGAAAAATATTGAAATCGTAAAATATGGATTTTTCGATATTTGTGACACTTTGTGGTGACGGTGACGAATTTGGAAGAAGTCCAGTATTTGAGAAATGGGGATAGAAATGAAACTAGATGTCTAGAAATCCCAAATAAGTGGCTATCAATATTGGGGGAAAGATAAAAATAGGACCTATATGAAGTTCTTTATCTAAGCTTGCATTATGTGACACATGGCAATGCATCTGGCTACTTAGTTTTAGAAGTAAGAAAACAAGAAACCATTCAAAATTGCAAAACAGGTGTCATTGGAATTGAGAAAAGTCTGCTTTTGATTGTAAAGGTGATTTTTGAGCAAGTAAAAACATTTTTGACTCTAATTTATTCAAAACAAAACAGGGGCCCTACACTACCATGACTACACCATCACGGTTATTTTTATGAATGCAGTGTTGAAGCTGCATCAACTGGAAAATAGGTTCAGAAAAAAATAGGTTAAGACAAAAATAAAATAGGTTAAGACAAAAATAGTGATCAAAACTTTAATTTAACGAAGTGGCTATCGTTACGGCACTCGTTGTTTAGCGCCCTCTACGATATTTTTTTGATACGCACGCAGGTATATAATTATTTGTTTCCCCACGTTTTATCGAGCAGTGCGCCAGCTCAGCCGATAGAGGGTAGGATTTTGCACCGCGAGGTTGCGGGTTCGAATCTCAGTTTTGCACTCGAATTTTTTTCCTTTTCTAACCTGAGGCTTTGGAGGATTTTTTTTTAAATGGAAATAAAGTCCGAATTTCATAAAGTTCCAATTCACTTTTTTCCTTCTAATTTTATATTTTCTTGTCATGTTTTTTTATAAAAGTTGCCAGGTTGCAGTCTACCGTAACGATAGAAAATGGGAAATGCGTTACGGCTGCCGTAACAATAGCCACTGCGTTAATTTAAATTAACTTGATCATTTAACTCAAAATTAAAAGAAGAATGTTGACCTACAATGTAGGCCCCTAATTAGTCCGAGTAACTTGGACCCAACTTATCGCCTTTTTAAAAATTTGGACATGGTCTGGCGATAGTAGCTTGGACCCAACTTATCGCCTTTTTAAAAATTTGGACATGGTCTGGCGATAGTAGGGTCCAAGCCCATTCCGAGACCTAGACAACACAGTCACTGACAGTCCCAAAAACCAACATTTTCCAACAAAAAACATCAGATTTCACCTTCAAAACGGCCTCCAAATTACTAGATATGCCACCTGAGGTACAAGTAGACATCGATAATTAAGATGGTTGTACTGAAGTTTACTTACGATCCGGAAAAAAAGTGAAATTTTCCGTTCATTTCGGAGAGCTCCCCTCGCGATCTTGAACACGTTAAATTTGCGATCGTGTTTAAAGTTTGAACGACGCGATTTCTTCTACATGCCCAGCGTACATTCGATGGTCCCCGTATCCCGAGTGCGATTCCGTTACCGAGCGCGCGCGATGCATCGATTATGATAATGAGTAGACTGAATCACGTTTGTAAACACATGTGCATTTCAAACGATAATAGGGAGTCGGGAACTAGCGCAGCTTTTATAGCGGGTACCAGTTCAAGCTGGTTCCCGATTCCCTTTTACAGTTCGAAATGCACATGTATGTGTTTACAAACGTGATCATTATCATAATCGATGCATCGCGCGCGCTCGGTAACGGAATCGCATACGGGATACGGGGACCATCGAATGTACGCTGGGCATGTAGAAGAAATCGCGTCGTTCAAACTTTAAACACGATCGCAAATTTAACGTGTTCAAGATCGCGAGGGGAGCTCTCCGAAATGAACGGAAAATTTCACTTTTTTCCGGATCGTAAGTAAACTTCAGTACAACTATCTTAATTATCGATGTCTACTTGTACCTCAGGTGGCATACCTAGTAATTTGGAGGCCGTTTTGAAGGTGAAATCTGATGTTTTTTGTTGGAAAATGTTGGTTTTTGGGACTGTCAGTGACTGTGTTGTCTAGGTCTCGGAATGGGCTTGGACCCTACTATCGCCAGACCATGTCCAAATTTTTAAAAAGGCGATAAGTTGGGTCCAAGTTACTCGGACTAGCCCCTAATGCGCCTAACTAACCGTTCCTCGAGATTCATAGCATCGGTCACTTCCTGTTTTATGACAATATTATCTGCCGCCATTGTGCTCCACCAGTTTCGATTCAACGTGATAGGAAAGAGATATTTTGCAAAATGTCTTCGAAAACAGCCGGTGTGTCAGTTTTCACTTCAGTACGTAGACCTATAGACCCGACGGTAAAACCTCACAAACGTAAACACATGCAATTTCACGCATGAGCTGATGGTATTCGGCGCTAACCTCAGGCACACTTTATGAGAAATATGGGAACCAGTGGACTTATTGGAGAAGTGTTAAGCTGTGGATGGAAACAAACAAACGCTAAAGCCAAAATGGGGGACGATTCAGAGAATCAGCTTGAGGTTGATCCGGTAAGAAATACGTGAAATGAGCCATGTTTTTACTATTTGTTTTCATTTATTAGTAAAATCGTAACACATTATTCTTTTTGTGGTGTTTTTGTTGTATTTGAAGGAGGACTTGGTGGTCGAAGGATGCCGGATGCCGGTGAAAATGGCCAGTGCAAATGAGTGGCGTAAGTGAACAAATTTTAGTGGGCCCTGTTTTCGTGATATAGCGCCCTCTACAACCCGGATTTCGATCTTGATCTTGTTGTTCCCATTTGTAACATGTATAATGGCTATAATATGGCGATTGTGTAGTTACGGGCCCTGTTCCTATAAAAAGAGAACAGAAATCAATTTTTTAGTGACATTCTCAAACCTAGACCCGTGAATGTGGCGTTGTATACAACGCCACGCGCTTCCGTTGGGTAAATGCTAGCGACAGCATTCTAGCCCCACTACTGGTATGCTGCGCTGAACTTAGGTTCAGCGCAGCATACCGACGGCCACACTAGTGGGGCTACATTCTATCTTTTGATCCGCTACATATAACCATGTATAATTTCGCCAATATGTGAATCACTTACTTGTTGGGCCTCCTGTAAATTTCCGCGAGTGTTGGATCTGTCATTGCCAAGAAATTTGATGTAAAGTACGGCACAACTTTGTCACAACAAATTTTTTCAAAATGATCAGGAAATCAAAGACAGGCATGACACTCTGGTACCCTGACTTCCGCATGCGCAAAACAGTAGGAGTATCACCAGTTGGTACCCGACTAAAAAAATTCTTATTCCTCCATGGTAATACCTTGTAAAATTCTGCTAAATCCATTTCGAAAGTCTGCCAAATCACCCAGTTTATATTGCTGTTCCATTGTGCAAGGGTTTGGTTTAAGGATTTTTCAAAAAAAGAAGGTTTTTCAAACCAAATGTGCCATATTTCTTTCCAATCTTTTTTATTTTCCTTCATCTTCATAATTCTGCCGAAAAAATATTCTGCTGATTTTATGTACAACTCATTTTTGTATGCAAATATTCTGTCAAATGTAGCCGAAATTCGGCTAGAACGGTCACTCTATTTTAGTAACAGCGGATCACAATAGAGTGTTTTTACTATAGACTGAAGCGTGGCTATGTATATAGCCACGTTCACGGGTCTATCTCAAACCTAGTCCCATAAATGTGATGTTAATAGTAAAAGAGTCTCCGTGTTAAACGTACTCACAGATCCAGATATGGTATTTGGACGGAGGGTCCGTTGCTAAGGGGGCCGAAAATCCATTCAAAACTGCTATTATTTTGTAAATTTATACTCACACAATGCAGTGTTCTCCACAGACTTTTTTCTTGGGAGGGCAGCATGACGTCATCGGACGTTCACCCGTCGGTTTGACGTCATCGAGCGGATAGTGATTTTTTTTTTACCACATTTTTATCAATGGGACCTAAATCGAAGCTCCTGATTGGTCCACTTCCGTTTTAAGTTGCATAATAATACATCAGAGAACTGGCATATGGCAAAAAAATTGGAAAATAGGCCGAACAAAAATACGTGTCCGAAATCTGGGCCACGCTGCCATTACACACATGTACATGTACATGCATGTACAATACACTTCATGCCCAATTTCCGGACACCAACTCCTGCTTTATTCTCGATTCAAACAAAATTTTATGATGGAAAAAAAAAATGGTCAGTGTTTTCATTGCATAAAATGCCTGAATTACGGTTAGAGTAATGGAGTCATCAATAAAGGTGTTCACTTCTTACTTGAGAAAGTCGAGGGAAAAGTCCGAAAGACAAGGGTACCGTTCATGGTGCTTCAATCATGTCCATGATTCAACCACACAACTCCACTACTCCACTTGCATTCATACGTGGGGAAAAATCAGGCATTATCGTCTTTCTCTTCCAACAAATGCCAGTGAAATGTTTCGCTAAATGCTCTCTTCGCTATCCTCGAGATAATCATCATGATTTTTAAAGCATTGCATTTTGTACAACTAAATCTGAAATCTCCGAAAATCGCACAACATAATGATTTTATCCACTGGATCGTTCACAAGGCTACCCGTTCCCGACCGGCCATGTGCTAGCGGACGGTATATATACGGTGCGGTACGTGCGCTGGTACCATTGCATATTCGCACGCACGTGCGACACAGTGATTTTTCCATGTTGCCTGTCAATGTGTAACCTTTTGTCCAGCCGGAGAAGGCTCCGATCAGTGTTATGCCCTGTGTTTCTACCGTTTAAACACTCCAATAACGACTGGTGAAAGAGATTAAAACTACGTTCGTGATGATTTTAACGTGCCATTTCCATCGACTTTTCTTCAAAATTATGATTGAAATAAAATGTTATTTTGTGGAAAAAAAATTTGGCAGGGCGGTAAATTTTCTTGGCAGGGCGGCCAATCCTTTGGCAGGGCGGCCTTAATTCTTAGGAGGGCGGGCCGCCCTCCCAAAACCTACATGTGGAGAACACTGACAATGCCCCATGCAACTGCTTAATACAATGTATCAACAAAACGTTAAATTCGGCACCTTCAGAGGTCTAGTTATCTTGTAATTTGGAGTTGAATTCGGACGACTTTTACAGCCATTGTTCACGAAAGCGTCGTGTTGCATGACGTCATTGGTTGTGATAAATTGCGCCCTCACTAGCTTGCATCAAATTTTGCCAATGTGCATTTGTACGGCTGTTGCCTGTCGTTCAGTTTTGGTCAAAAGTGCGCCCGCATTACATGCACTGTTGTGTCGCCTGACTAATGATGATGACGTCTCCCATATTTGCATCATAATTCATGCAACGTGCTGTTGGTAATTTTGTACCAACGGCAGGGCAAACAGCGATTCAATCATCCGCCACTAATTTATCGTTGAATATAAACTGAGTCTTTGTTCCTATTCTATTTCATACCTGATAGAAGATGTGGTCTCTTCTCATTTTTACAGCGCTGGCTGAAATACTGAGTCGAAAGGAGGTGGAGAACCGAACCATATACTATGTTCACTTCATCGATTGTAAGTTGTTCTTTTACAGGTCGAATTTGAGAATCACTAATCTTATAATTGAGCACTTTAACCCTTACCCTCCTCAATCCTCCAAAATCTTCCTGGCAGTTTTGAAGGATTTTGGAGGATTGAGACTGTATGGGAGAAAAGAGCCTGCTGTACCCAGCATTTATGCTTGATATCATCCGCACAGCTTCTGACTGTCATTGGTACTGCCTCAACCCATTAACAGTGACTGTTGGAGGATTTTGAAGGATTGAGGCAATGGTCACCCCTCCACCAAACAAATTCAAGAAATAATGAATGATTTTGGAGGATTGAGCTGAATCCAATGTTTACATGGTGGCAATTGGAGGATTTTGTAGGATTGAGGATTGTTTTTAGCCAAACAGGCCTATAGGGGGTTAGGGTTTAAAGATTTGAGTGTAAACTTTATATTTAGTCTTATTCAGCCCAAAAAAAGGAGAAAGTTGCCGTTTTGATGTGGTGTTGCAACAAGGTGAAAACCTGGTTTCAAATCACATTTTAATTCAATTATCCCAAGATATGTAGCGCCTTGTCCACGCTGGTTCTTCAGGGCTTTGTGTTTCCATGTCATCATTGTATCATTACCATCAATTTTACACAATTGGAACTTTTCCGGTTTTGAGTCTCAAGACCAGCAGTACCTTCTAAGTTCTTGGACTTCATCTGTGACCCTAGACTAAAACCAAAATAGAAACTTGAACCTGGAACCCTGAGGCCCTTCTTGGCTAGGATGCACCCTCAAAATCCTTCAGCTGCTTTCCCCTATAATTGGATACTGCCTCAATCCTCTGAAGTCTTGTTATCGCTTGGTTTTGTTCAGTGGAGGGGTGACCACTGCCTCAATCCTTCGAAATACTCTAATCTCACTATAAAGAAGTTGAACCAGCAGTGTGGATCACATCGAGTACAATTCTATAGCTACCTTTGTGCATGGCCAAACATACAGAGTGTGAGGTACATCGTCCAAAATCACCCAAGACCGAATCAGTCATTGCCCTGAATCCTCCATAAACCAACCAGCTCTTCAAGACATACATCCCTAATCTACCAAAATTCTAAAAAAAAAATGCCTGATTGAATTTGATGGATTGAAAGGGTTAGAGTTTGAATTCCTAGACACAAGATAGACATCAATACTAGCCCCCAAAAAAGTGTCGTCAAGACTGATGATGTCTTCTCTATGTTACTCAGATAACAAGCGGCTTGACGAATGGGTGGAGCGAGATCGTCTGAACCTTGACAAGATGCAGCTACCCAAGAAAGATGCCAAGACGCCAGTCAAAGACAGCAGCGTCAGCAAAGGAAACTGCTCCTCCAATTCAAGAGCATCTTCTCCCGAAAGAGAGATCGTAAGGGTTTCGGTTTTCGGTCACCAGGGATTCATATGTCATAAAGGACTCATTGATTTGTAGATATCACTCAGCCTTACAACCCCTAGATCCATTAAATCCATCGCAATCTTTGAAAGAGTTTTGCAGGATTAAGAAAGGTAGACGCTGGTCACTCATACTTTAAATGCGACCTGATTCAAATTTCAAGGCTATCACGGAAAAAGTTGAGGGAGGGGAGGGGGGGGGGTGGATTCTGCCCCCCCCCCCCCCCCGGCCCTTTTAGGGTTAAGGTGACATGTTTTTATTTGCTACACAGACTAACGGCGGAGGAGGACTGAATTTGATGCAGCGCAACAAGGCAGCCATAGGCCGTAAGCGCAAGCTACCCATGAACGAGGCAGGAGCACCAGCGTCTCAGCAGCAGATGACGGGCATACCAGTGATTGACAACCCTTCGTCACCGGTCTCCACCCCGCTGTCGGTTTCCCCGACACAGCTGTCACAGGGCCAGAGTCTGGTGCCCAGTTTCTCTCAGCAGGTATTGCATTGTCTTCGTGGGCTGTCCCAGACTCAAATCTGCTGTTCTTTGTTTTCTTATCTTTGTATCAATGTTTGTAGTGTATGTTGGTGATTTCATCTGAATCAAATCAAATCAAATCAAACCCTACCTCAAACTTGCTGATATAGAGCCAGAGAACAGACCACACTTCCTGGTCCTTTCGACCTCTGATGTGAGGTCGACTTGAAAGGTCGGTCCAGTGAATTTTATGTCAAAGCATATTTTTATGTAATATATGTTCCTGGGAACTGTATGGAAATCATCATTTAATTTCTACAAAACATTGTAGTTTTTCCATACTGTTTCCTGACAAGAATTGAGGGTACAGTTGCTGTAATATTACTTCAGACGAACCCAGAAAATTGATTTATTTAAAGGGAATATACAACATTTGCAAACATCGAAAAATAAAACTACCAAGTTTTTGCGAAATACCTTAATAGGATGTTGTTAATGACAGTCTAAAGCATCTTGTAAAATTATGGCACCTGGTGTGAAGTCATTTTCAAGAAAATGGTATTTTTGTAAAAAATTTCCAGCGGTGGTCGGCCGACCACCGTTGGAAAAACCTAACTATTTTTCAACTACTGCTCCAAATTTACCATTAATTCAATCCAAATTTTGTTTGCTATTAGTTACATGTTTATGAACGGGTGCAGGCCAGCTAGACTGGTATCCTTACCTTACAATTTTCCGGCATCTGTAAATTGATCCATTTTATATTTAGTGGAGTCAGGGAACCAGACTACTTGAACAGTTTTGTTTTTCTTGGTTTTTCCAGCATTTTCGAACACAAAACTTCAAACATGTGAGTGTAACAATATTTGATCTATTATACTAACCCCTCAAATAGTTCATTTCTGAAAATTACAGCAAAAGTCAATGATGTATATTCCCTTTAAGTTTTCTCGGGCTCTCATTTAATAAATCAGCAACAAAATGCACACACCAAAAAAAGAATCGACCACAGCAAAAAAAGAAAGAAAAAAAGGAACAAACTATCCCCAAACTCCAATAAACTGTTCTATTCTGCACCGACATGTACAACAAAATGCACACACCAAAAAAAGAATCGACCACAGCAAAAAAAGAAAGAAAAAAAGGAACAAACTATCCCCAAACTCCAATAAACTGTTCTATTCTGCACCGACATGTACAACAAAATGCACACACAAAAAACCTAGTCCCAGTGAACAATGCCACAGTCTGTATCCTGCTGCATTCGGTGACCACAGACTCTGAGGCAGTCTGTCCTTGAGACTTTTGGCCTGATGGATCTCGCTACACTGAGCAGGCTTGTCATTTTAATAAACAAGTGTTGCATGTTGCTGCGTTTGGCAGGGTTTCTAGCCAAAACACCTGGAGGGTTAGGGTTAAAGTACAACCTGTATAACTTGTTGCAATTATCTTTCCCCCTACGCATTCCAGTCCTTGTCGGAGTATTTCTCCCAGTCTTCCCAGTCCGAGCAGCAAATCCCCCCAGCCCATCAGCCCCGTCAGACAGGTAGCATGGCCACGGACAAGACCCACGATGACATCATCACCAGGATGAAGAACATTAGCATGATAGAGCTGGGCCGTCACCGCATCCGACCCTGGTACTTCTCTCCCTACCCCATCGAGCTGACTGTGACCCCTATCATCTACCTCTGTGAGTTCTGCCTCAAGTATGTCAAGAGCACAAAGTGCTTAGAAAGACACAAGGTAAGATGCATTAAGTTATATATATTGTGTGCCAATATCCATTCCTCTGAACACCAAGACATTCTTTTTTTGATTACAAGTTTTGTAAAGTGCACTATTTTAAACATTTGACTCACTCATGTACTAAAAAAACCCAATGACTCATCATAAACAGAAAATTTACCACAGCAAAAGTTGAGAAATCTAGCAAATTTGTGGCACTGAAGTAGCTTTAACACTTACGTTTCTTCCCTTAAAGGGAAAATACAACATTTGCAAACATCAAAAGATAAAACTACCAAATCATTTTGAAATACCTTGCTGGACTGTTAGTGAATGACAGTGTAAAGCATCCTGTAAAATCATGGCACCTAGTAAACTGTCATTTTCAAGAAAAGTGGTATTTTTGTATCAATTTCCAACGCTGATCGGCCGATCTGGCTTTTTTTCAAATACTGGCCCCAATTGACCATCACACTTGTTTTCAATCGATTACAAACCTATGAACGGGTACGAGCCAGCTAGACTGGTTCCCTGACCTTACAATTCCCCAATGTATGTAAACTGCTCTGTTTCTTTTTATATGGAGTCAGGGAACCAGACTACAGGAAAATGACTGTTTTCTTGGTTTTTATAGCATTTTCGAACCCAAAACCTCAAAAAAGTCAGTGTAACTATATTTGCTATATATTTCCAACCTTCAATTCCATACATTTCTGATAATTACAGCAAAAGCAAATGATGTATATTCCCTTTAATACTGATATGAAGATAGAAAATGAAGCTCATTAGGACACAAAGGTGCATTTTCAAGGATCAGATTAATGAAAACTATTTCTTGGGCCTTTTAAGGAATGGCGTCTAATTTGTTAAATATTTCGCATAGTTTTAATTTATAGCCCAACACTTTACAAGGGCTGTCACTTACACAAGGATGTTTCCGATTTTGACCTGGTGTTTTATTGAAGACAGTAAATCCAAACTTTATACAGTGTATTTGGTCGACACAATAGATATTTCCTTGTATTAGATTAAATACTAAGATTCTTCGAATGATGTGTATAGTAAGTAGGATTAAAGACATTCTTTACAAAACAAAACTCCAGGGAACATCATATTCATATCAACATCATCATATAATAAAATGTGTAATGTTTACAATTTGGGTACTAAAAGCAAACGCAGAAGTACTGCTAACATTTGTCATATTTTTTTTTTTTTAATTTCAGGCCAAATGTAACTTGAGGCATCCACCAGGCAATGAGATCTACCGTAAGGGCAACGTCTCATTCTTTGAAATTGATGGTCGGAAAAATAAGGTAACTGCATGTACATGTTTTATCAATCTCCAAGCCAGTTTGATGAAGTAAGAAACATTAGAAAGACACGATCGTACCCCTGCAGCAAAAGTATCTTGACATGCGTTATCAAAGAAGGCTACGTCTTGAAAGACATAGAATTAACTGGGTAAAAGTAGATGGTTATTTTTTCAAATAATACAAAATCCAATGCAGAATATTATTCAAATGGAGCAGTGCTGAATAAATGGTACAATGTGAAAACACCTGAGGTTTAAAATCCTGAAAAAAAAAAGAGATTGCAGAATTTATATTACAGATTGTGCTGAGGCATTCAAGGTAAAGTCATTGGTTTTGCTGGTCACCGAGAGGGCAGCCTATAGTCCTCTTTGCGCCTGACTGACTCACTGACTGACTGCCACTTGCGAATGAGCCTAGTTGGCCAAGTGTGAGACCAAATGAAGAAACACCAAAACCCCAAAAAATGTTAAAACAATTGTGAGGCGAATTTGTTTCAAAAGTAGAATGTGTGTCGCATTTATTGTTGTTGCGTATTTTGTATTGTACATGTACTCATGAAAATGTGCTCCACTGCAACATTGTTAGCAGTTTGTCATGAACCCTGAAGCCCGGTTCATACTTTACGCGAAAGCGAAAGCGAAGGCGAAGCGGAATTTGTGACGTCAACAATACAATCGAAGCGCGTCCACCATTGTTGACGACATGAATTTCGCTTCGCTTTCGCTTTCGCGTGAAGTATGAACCGGGCTTAACTCCCTACTTATTTTTTAAATACAAAGTAGAGATTCATGTCCTTCAAAATCCATCACTCACTCTTCTTCACATAATGCTTCAGGACCAAATCCAATGAAATCCACCACTGGTGCTGGTGGATTTTGATGGACTTGGTACACATGGCTTATCTGCCCAAATCTCCCCAAATGGGGGGATGGATTTTGATGGAGTTGGTAAAGTAAGGGTAAAAAAAAGTCTGGATGGTTTTCTTCATATTCGAGTGCTCCCATGTGCACAAATAATTTCTTTCTCTGTGTCTTTCTTGATTCCCAAGTCCTATTCACAGAAGCTCTGTCTACTAGCCAAGTTGTTTCTAGACCACAAGACGCTGTACTACGACACAGACCCGTTTCTCTTCTACGTCATGACAGAGTATGATAACAGGGGCTTCCACATAGTGGGCTACTTCTCTAAGGTAACGGGGCAAGACGTCAGGGCAAGATTTGGTTTGCATTGTAGCTATCTTTTAGGTGTGTGCTTTTGTTCAGCAGGGAAAGCATGAGTAGACCTCTTGTGTATTCACTGTTAATGAATTAACATAACAAAACACACCTCCAAGATGGCTGCTGAATGCAATTTGTCTGTACAGGGTGAGTCGAAAAAAGCGAAACCCAAATGTCGGGACTTCTGTTTTAGTGAAGTTCTGTTTGTAGCACTTTCAAAATCTAGGATATGAAAGCCCAATTCATAAGCTTTCTTTTAGTTCAAGAATCATTCAAATCACTCTTGTACTTTTGAAGTTATGGAATTTTTAACACAACCATTAATTTAAAGTTCTGTCCAAGGATTAAAAAGGTGTGCTTTCTTTCAGCAAAAAGAAACAATTCACACACATCCCTATGTGATTTGTTTTCGTTTTGCTGAAAGAACACTTACCTTCTTGTGATCCGTGGACAGAACTATAAAACAGTGGTTGCATTTAAAATTCCTTAACTTCAACAGTACATAAGTGATTTGCATGATATTGTACTAAAAGAAAGCTTATGAATTGGGCTTTTATATCCTAGATTTTGTAAGTGCTACGTGCAGAACTTCACTAAAACAATGGTCCCGACAGTTAGGTTTTTTGTTTGTTTTTTTGACTCACCCTGTAGACTCAGCTGCTATAAAGTTACCATTTCTGTAGAAGTGTTGACTGTTCAAGTATTTCATCATTGTTACAAATGTTTTTTTTGTAACTCAGGAGAAAGAATCAACGGAGGACTACAATGTAGCGTGCATTCTGTCATTACCGCCATACCAGAGAAAAGGCTTTGGCAAACTCTTGATTGAATTCAGTGAGTACTCTTCTCCTCATTTTTTCTCGTCATTATTTCTCCTTGTTACATCTTTTATAAAACATGTTTTTTTATCTTCAGAACCTTTTATCTAAATTTATATTGGTTTTAGCCCTGTAATAACAGTGAACTATTTTAGTGTTAAAAAATGTTGATGTGGGGGGTGCAAATGACTTGGTGGAAATTTGTTAACAATTTTCGGTATTACATGTGACCTACGAGCATTTTTACAATTGTAAATAGTGAATGAATTCATTCAGTTCATCAATGACTTGATATATGATACAGCAGTACAAACCTCAACTAGAAATGTGTTTGTCACGTGGACAAACACAAATGTTTCGGCTGACTGCAAATGCTTTGTGTCTTCTTTGTCTTCGTGCCAAGTTTCAGGTTGATCTGAATACAGGAAATGTATAACTTTGTCAGTAAAAGAAAATATAAAATCTTTAATAACTCATAAAAAATTATTTGTTGATGCCATCATGACGTCACTTCATATTTTGCATAATGGTATAGTGATCTAACTTCCCACCAAGTTTCATGACGATTTACAAGCATAAAAAAAACCTAAAATTTTGACGGAAAATCTAAAAAAAAGTGTTGAAAATGTTTGTCTTGCATTCTTTGCTAGGCTACGTGCTTTCACAGTTTGAAGGAAAGACTGGTTCCCCAGAGAAGCCTCTGTCTGATCTAGGGCTTCTGTCATACCGTAGCTATTGGTCCCAGACCATCCTGGAAACTGTCCTCAAACTACAGAAGTCAGCCGATGGAGAGAGGCCACAAATCACCATCAAGTAAGTGTGAACGTTTTGCATTGTGTCAAGTAATGGCATTCCAGGGTGTTTACATGGAGATTAACTGCAATACACCTAATGGATCTTGTGCATGAACAGCAGAGGACGCTTTCCTGATCACGTTCGAGTGCCCAAGTGCCCATACTGGTTTGGGCGCAAATTGTGAGAAGTATGCAGATTAATATAACTCAGGAACCATTAGAAATGGTGCAGGCATGGGATACATGTGCAGCTCGGAAAAACTAGCAGGTTATATCAGCCTTTTGTGTGGTTATTTCACTGAATCCACACATATACGTCTTAACATTTTGCACATTGAAATGCACATTGCCCATAGTGTGCCACATGAAATAACCACGCAAAATGGTGATTTAACAAGCAACTTTTTCCAAGCCGCATACGTATCCAGTACATGTACCATTTCTAATGGTTCCTATTCTCAATGTGCACAAACGTGAGGCATGTTTCAATTGGCATCAGTCGCTGTTGCCAATGAATTTGAATGTCCCTCCCAGTGGCCTCCCTTTGTATTAAATAAACCGTATCCGCTCCGTTCACAAGTACCCCCTCACCGGCAAAGGAAGTACAGTTGGGGGTGACCGACCGACGCCATCTTGCCCGACTGCAATTCATTTGCCGCGAAGCGCGGCCACTGCGTGTACATAGTACAAATCCCCTGGTGTACGTGCGTCACACACAAGGAACGGTGCATTTCAACCAGCGAAATGTCCCGCCCATGGGACGTCGTTGCTAGGTAAAAGGGCGCCCTCTTTTGTCGGCGCATGGAGCCCATATGAGGGGCACTTGTGCACAGAGTCCATATCTAAGTAGTTGGAAGTTTGCCAATTATAGGTACAGGTGCCATGTGTGGACAAGAAAGGATGCTTTACCACCTTTGAGAGCATGTAGACGGGACACAACGTGGTTCATGCGCGCATAGCGCGAAGTACGCACGGCTAATTTTATGCTGAATGTGCACAAAGCATAGCGTCTTCACATGAGCGTCAGGCGTTGTAGGAAATGCATTCGAATGTCACTCCAAGTGGTCTTCCCTGACTTGCCCTTCCTTGCCGTTGAGGGGGTACTTGTGCACACGGAGCCCATAGTGCATAAGCATGTAATGTAACTCCAAACTGAAGTGCACTGTCAGTCATGCTGATATCCAAGTCTCTAGTAGTCATACATGAACTACTGCCGAGGTTGTTTGCTCAATTGAGTTCCTATACAGTATCTTCAGGTGATTTCATTCTTCATGGGTTGCATTAGTTGGGGTTACCAGTGTCAATCTACAGCAAGTGCTGCAAGATGAAATCACAAAATAACGAAACTTTAAACAAGCAGTAACTAACGGATGAACCTTGAGGCAACCCCCGTAGAAATGTTTAATTTTGCATTCTCCCCTAACTTGCTTACATTCAATTCAATGAAAGTTGTGCAATACTGGTGAGAGAAGTGGCCAGAAATTGTACCATAACATCAGTGCATTTTCCTGTCTGGGCACTTGCATGCATTGGTCAGAAATTAACGTGTACTCCAGAAACAAAAAGACTGATTCACTGATCAGGTCACCCCTAAGAGGGGAGGGGCCATTTTTTTCAGCGCGTTTGGGAAAAGTTGACATCAGTGTGCCAAACTGTATTCCTTTGACACAAGATCTCAGCAGTTTTTAAACTCTTATATCGGCCATTGGATTATTTCTGGTGTAAGTGATGATGCATTGCGTTGTTGTGGTGCTGCTCATAAACAATGAATGATGCCGACCATGGAGTTGAAAAGTGGAATCCTTGAGGCCAATGTCTGTTGGTGCATTGGTCATTGGATTTTACGGGTGTAAACGATGCATTGTGCTAATGTTGTACTAATTCTAATCAGTTATTGATGTCAACCATGGAGTTGGAAAATGACATCTTTGAGGCAAATGTCCGTTGGTGCATTGTATTGTGAATTACTTGTATCAGGGGTGAGATTTGTCAGAATTCTTCCTGATTTCAGGATTTTCTGTCTGGATTTTTTCGTGATTTTCAAAGAATCCTGTCAGAAATTTGGAATTCTTGAGGTTTTACTGTAGATTTTTTTTTAATAGAACTATAGAAACACAAACCCTCTGCCAATTATTTCATGGATTTTTCAGTTACCCCAAATCTCACCTGTGTTGACTCTATTGTTTTCTGCTCAGTGTAGAGTTCTTACACTCATACCCATGGTTAAAGCAAGGTATCCAATCTTAGTATCTCACCAAGCCAAACATTCTTTTGTAAATGCCCACGCCCTTCCAGTGAGATCTGTGAGACGACCAGCATCCGCAAGGAGGATGTGATCTCCACGCTGCAGCACCTGAATCTGATCAACTACTACAAGGGTCAGTACATCATCACCCTGTCACCCGAAGTCATAGAGGGACATGAGAAGGCCATGGCCAAACGGAAAATCCGCATCGATCCCAAATGCTTGCACTGGAACCCCAAGGACTGGTCCAAGAGGGGCAAGTGGTGACAGTTCTGAGGAGCTCAGCAAGAAACAAGTTTTAAGGGTTGTGATGCGACTAGGGCTGTGGAGCGGAACTGGGTACCTGAGAACCTGAGAACCCGACCGTTTATGTCAGGAACTGGTTCCAGATTATGGAATCGGGTACCAGCAGCCAACTGCCAAGTAACTTCTCAGACAAATAAAAAGAAATGTTTCGAATGTCATGCGTGAAGGATTTCAAAAATGAAAACCAGGCTACATGGGAGAACAAAGCATGTTTCACATTTATGAGGCTTGTGAAAGTTGCAATTTACACTGTAAAGCTGTAAGCTCACTGTACACACTTGTATCTTGCTGTATTGGTGCACCAATGTGGCAGTATGACCGTGCGGACCTTTATGAACAATCTAAATAGCAACTTCCGAGATTTGAATTTTGGGTTGGGCTTCTTTCACGGGTTCCCAGGTACCCGTACTACCCGTAAATGCACACACCTAGATGTGACTAACTTTGCTAGAAGGCTTGATGATTGGACTACGCTACGTAGCAGGGTCTCTAAAGCCGCAATTAATCATTTAGTACGGCTGGAAGCGTTGACATACAAATAATCCAGAAAATGAGATTCATATAATGTCTTATCTTGAAAGGTTGTAATTTCTCAGTGTTGGCCTTTTTGGGTTCTTAGAAGTCGTTGGCCCAATATGTTTCAATTTGTGCTCTTTCTAGCCCAATAAATAAATTCCACTTCAAGTGGAAGATCATTGCAGTCTAAAATTTCAATTTATTGTTTCACCATGAAGTTAATGGTCCCTTAAGCATGAAATCCATGTATTTGTGATATTTGTTTTGGTCCCTTAAGCCCTTGGGCTTAAGCATCACAAACATCACAACAGAGTGGGTTTTTTAGGTTATACTGTCAGAAGTCACCAAACTCTGTTTCTGATTCAAACCTGATCTTAAATTTTTACCTGCCTAACAGATATTAAATACAAATGCCTAAAAGGTTCAATTAATGTACGAATGTGATAAAGCACCAAACAAGTTTCACAGTTTTGATCTGCATTTTGATGAACTAGGTCATGGATTTTCATAATTTGGTCATGGAAAAAATCATGGAAAAATCATGGAATTGTATTGTCCTACAGGTGCAAGAACCCTGTGCATGTGTACTTGCACTTTTCCTAAACATGCAGAGATTGATAAGAAACGTAACTTTATTTTGTCGTTCGCACCACGAAGTAACGTATTGTGTGCACAAAGTCCATAGACTTCACTTCGTGGTGCACCCGATGATTTGATAGACCCCTTCACGGATACTGTACGGCCATCTTTGTACGGCCATCTTTTGAAATTCCCCGAGATTACCACAAGACCACAAAAGATAGCTGTGTCTTCAAAATGGTCTGTGCAGTTTAGCAGAACTGTTTTCCTCCTGAAAACAATTTATTGTGTGAGGAATCTTTTATCACAGCTGCTGCTGTTGAAGCAGTGCCAGCCCACAGCTGTCAGGCTGCCAGGCTGCGTGTACTAGACCTTGAAGCGAAGTCTGTGGAGGACATGAATCATTGAAGACAGTCACATCACTGTTGCATATCCGCTACATAGTACATGATGCACTGATTTTATCAAGCCCCGTGGGTCGAGGTTTGCTGGTGACTGTACGGTACCTGTGTCAATCAATTGGAAAGCCTGGCAACATTTTGATTAGGATGCACATGTCAAATCATGTGCAACATCTAATATACATGTGGCGCAGTGTGCATGTGGTGAGCTCATTGTTAGGACTTTGGATGCTGTGTTAAAGGGAAAATACAACATTTGCAAACATCAAAAAATAAAACTACCAAATCATTTTGAAATACCTTGCTGGACTGTTGGTGAATGACAGTGTAAAGCATCCTGTAAAATCATGGCACCTGGTATACTGTCATTTTCAAGAAAAGTGGTATTTTTGTATCAATTTCCAACGCTGATCGGCTGATCAGCGTTGGAAAAAACTGGCTTTTTTTTTTCAAATACTGGCCCCAATTGACCATCGCACTTGTTTGCAATCGATTACAAACCTATGAACGGGTACAAGCCAGCTAGACTGGTTCCCTGACCTTACAATCCCCTAATGTATGTAAACTGCTCTGCTTCTTCTTATATGGAGTCAGGGAACCAGACTACAGGAAAATGATTGTTTTCTTGGTTTTTATAGCATTTTCGAACCCAAAACCTCAAAAAAGTCAGTGTAACTATATTTGCTATATATATTTCCAACCCCCCAATTCCATCCATTTCTGAAAATTACAGCAAAAGCAAATGATGTATATTCCCTTTAAGTGTTGTATCACAGTATGGAGCCACGCAATCAGATCCACTCAGTGGAGACATTGAGACCACGAGACAGTACAAATACTTTTTGAAAAAAAAAACCCAAACATTCTCAGCACAACTTGAATTAGACTCACCTCATTAAAATATTAAGACCATTTAAAATATATGAACCTAATTAGGTTGTATTTCGGTAGATTTCCAACATCATTACATTAGGCTGAAGTTGTTGGTAGCATTCCATGTAATCGTTTCATACTTCCAGCCCCCCCCCCCCATACCTGGTTGATGTAACTTGTGGAGATCAGTGCAGTATGACATTTGCTTGATTCTAAGCACATAGATGCTTGAAAGTTCTCTAGAGCAGTTGAGTTTGGATTGATCAAAGTTCTAGAACTCTCCTTTTGGAATCCATCTTGCAATTTTTTTAATGAAAATCGCCTATGAGTGCAAGGCATGTTTGAGAAGTCACAAAGCATTTTTGTTCCATATCCGTAGCAGTGTCTAGTACTCATGTAAATGCAGTGTCTATAGTAACCATCACGCCAAGCTTTTTACCTGTGTGTATATATGATGTAAATAATGGGACATTTATGTACGATACTTTCATGGAGCAGTGGTCATGGAGTTTGCTAATAAATACAAATTTGGTGACAAGAGGTTCTGATTTCATTGTGAATTTTCGTTTCGAAAGTTGAGTTTATGTTCACCCATTAGTATTACATTGTGGTTATTCCCTAATGAATCCATACAAAAAGTGCTGGAGGGGGGGGGGGGGGTTAGGGCGTTACAGGGAGTAAATAGGCAGGGTGGTCTGGGGCTGTAGTGACTACTGTAATGGGTTACATTGACCCTGAATGGACCAACTCCAGTCTCAATCAACCATTAACGCCGGAGGACGTGCAAACATGATCTACCAATGTATATTCGCAGGGGCAGATGATGGGTTAAATCATCAAGCTCCCGCTCCCCTCCCCCCCCCCCCCTCCCCCCCCCCCCCCCCCCTTCGGAGGTGGACGTGTGTACACATCAGTTGTTCCCATTGGTTTTGTACACACTGTGTTTTGAACTTGAACTTGGCCGCTGTACAAGGCTGTCATCGTAGCAAGTATCACTCTGTGGCGAGGCCTAGGAGTGTTGCAAAATATGAAGTTAAGATGAGAGGTATCGTACAAATATTGTACTAATGACTCTCAAGAGTCAGTATTTGTGGTGTTTGATTAAACAAAATTGGCCGATATATCTTGTCTTTTTCAAGAAAATACATAATCCTGTCAAGTGGTTACATTGCCTTGCTGCAGCAATTATGATTGTGGCTGGACTCTGTGGAGTTGTGCTGTGTGTGTGTCCTCGGGCAAGACATCTATCATTGATTCCATCATTGCTCATCTCCATCAGAGTAAACGGTTTCCTGTAAGGGCAGAGTTTAAGCTGTTTGCATAAAAAGGCATCATGCAGCTGTATGTTGTCCAGTGAGCTGAACTGTTCTAAGTGTTGTACATGACTGATAAGAAGGGGTAATAATCATGTAGCATCTTTCATTTAGTATTCATAAATACCCAAGTCAGTTTGCCCGTCACTTAGGTGATTTTAAACGGTTGATAAAACACTGACTGGTTAAACACTTTTCTCCAGCACCGCTGCGTTCTGTGCCGCATCGCGTAGTACGTGCCACGGGCATGCCACTCTCCATATAGGGAGATTTTTGGTACTACTCACGCGAGGCACATGCCATAAAAACATAGCTAGAGTGGTGTTTCATAAAACATGAAGTACAATTGTTGAACAAAATCGTTGGAATTATATATTTCTTGACTTGTTTTGGGTTTTTGACCGAAAGGTAATTGAGGAATGGGAATAGATATGTGCTTGGTTGTATAAAACTAGTACATTTAAACAATAAATGCATAAACGGTGCATGCCTTGATCCAAGTGATACATGTACACACAACCATTGGCCTCTAACTCCGCCCTAAATGCATAGGGTCTATTGGTGAGATTAAAATGAACGATTTCTATGTATGTATTCCAACTCGGACCATCTTGAAACCAAATACTTATGATCACATGATCACTCAAACAAATGGGACAGCCAAACCAATTAGTACACCTGACATCAAGAAAATACAACCATTCTTTGTGTTTTGTTAATGATTAGTTCTATTTTATTTTTTAACCTCATTCACCATTAACTATGTCTACTACAAAATGTATAGATTATTTTTTTTAATAATTGTACAAATTTAAATAATGTGAAAATACATGTAAGATAAATTAAGATTTCTGTCACTTAGTATTATTCATTGTTAATCTTTGATCTCGATATACATAAAACTATAAGTACATTGTAATATGCAAAACTGCTGAATAATTTTATATTAACCGTCATTTTAAAAACAATTAACAGCACGACTTCAGAAAACTTGTTTTCCTGTATATTTCAGGACTTAAACCTGAGACACTTACATGTACATGTATCTTTATAAACAAACAGGTCAAGACAAACACAAAGTCAGCACATAGACAAAATTCTTGCCACATTCTGTACACACAAGGAACAATGCACAACTGTACAACTGCGTCTATGTATGTCCTCAATTTGCCCTTTGCACGCTTCCGCCATTTTTTTTGTAAAAGTTTTGTGTAAAGTTGCCAGATCGAGGCTCTGCATGCTTATGGCGGAAGCGCGCAGAGGGCGAATACCGTTGCGTCCATTTTCCTAACATACAAGTAGCAAGCCTAAACTTACACCTTATACATATTCATGAGCCAGACCGGCTGCTTTCATTGGTCAATGGTCCAATGTGTAAGGGAAGTAACAGTATGTTGAGACAGTGTGGCATCACATCCTCCCTGGGTCAAGCTCATGTCCTTGACAATGATTCACGCTCTATTCTGCAGGTTGTGGGTTCGAGTCCAGCCTGGGGTTATGGTGCGTGTGCCCTTGGGCAAGGCACTTTGTCACTCATTGCTTCTCCCAACCCAGGAGTAGTCAACTGGTATTTGTAAGGGCAGCTAGAGATGGTTATTGCAACTGATTTTTAGCTGATTTGCGCTGAAATGGCAGCATCGAGCTGTATACGCCCCAGGGAGCTGAGATTGTCTTTGGAATGCTTCAATAGCCCAATGAGCAGGGTAACAATGATGTAACGCATTGATCACATGTATGTGTGCTTTATAAATACACATTAAATCATTATTATTTGCATAATACTAACTCCTGAGTAAATATTACATCCATGGGGTAATCAGAGGAGCCTGCATCACCTGACGGACCGTGGTTGATAGAGTTTGGAAGGAGTCGGCTGTGAAGTCTTGTCACAGACGCAGAATTGCAAGGGTACTCTCCTGTCCCAGCAGACATCGTAGGGTTGGTATAGGGTGATCTGCTTGACCTGTTAAGGAGATAACGACAAAAGCTACAGTTTTGCCAGCAAATTCAGTTTCACATACTCCTACTGTGTATCAGAATACAAAATATATACCGGGTGGCATTTGGGTAGGCTGGGCAGGACCATATAACCCTGTCATTCATTTCTATCTTCTGTGGATTGGTTAGTGCTGATCAATCTTACACAAGAGGGTTCAAGCCTGTGATGCAATGTTTTTGTTAATTATCATCCTTTACTACAATGGTGATTGCCATAGCCTTAAGGAACGGTAGTTAAATATATCCCGTTATTACAATTATCATTCAAAAATAAATTAGTCTCTCCAAACATGTTTTAGGGCACATTGAAGAATGCCTAAACAATAGCCTTTAGGTCTTCAAAAACTCTCAGAAATACTTCAGATATGTTTTACTTGTGACACTGCTGATCAAGTAATTAAAAGCCAAATGTTCTGGCTGTCTATCGAAAAAATAATGGGAAACCTCAACAGTAAAGATATTGATGAAAAATTGCATAAAACACAAAGTCAATTAAATACATGTGTAGATCCTGAGTGAGGGATGCAACAGCAACATAACTTCAAACTTCACGTTGCTTACAATTTCTTGGCAGGTCATTTTTTCACCCAAAAGTATTCTGATGAATAAAAAATGCAGTGCCACAAAGTTGTAGTCAGGCCTGCTAAGCAGAACATGCCCAATGCTCTCAACTCCTTTCTATGCACACATAAGCATCAAGTCCCAATTCAAAAATTGGATCTCCTTCTATCAATTTCTGTTTTTAGTCAATTTGGAGGGAACCACTCGGTCATAAACTAACCAGTTTGATATCCATATCACTGTCCATAATGACAGACCATACTGTATCCTCCTCAATGGTCTGAAAGGTAACATGATAGACGTAACGTCGGGCGGACTGCAACTCTTCATCTTTATTCTCGTTAACCAGGACGTTTAGTATCCGTCTGAGATGCAGGTCCATGCAGGAGGTCTTGGGGTCACCGATGGAGCCGGGGTCCAGGGACTTGAGTTTCTCGGGTCCGTGCATAGCGTTGATGTAGCGCAGCGTCTTGCGGACCATGCTGGTGTGCCTCCTAGTCCAATGTGGCTCTGGGAGTTTCTGACATTGAGGGAAAGTAAACAAACCAACTTTTCTTTGACTGCAAAAAAAATATACTGAAAATATCCTATAGCTAACAGGAGGGACTAGGTTTTCTGTATCCCTATCTTGAATGTAATTTTGTTCTATAACCCGTTAGCACCGGTACCTACTGCATTGTATTACAATGTATTTTTTCTCTGATGAATCCGGACGCGGCTAGACTCAAACGGACACAAAACAGACTGAAAATTGCTTACGTAATTTGAGTCTATGAAAACAGCAAGTTTATTTGTATGAAGACTTGTTTTTGTACAATAGGGGATTGTAATTTACAGAATGGACCCCTAACCCCAATTTTCCCTTATCCTACCCCGTAAATTTTGGTATATTTATGTTTTGGACCAGGAGCAATCGATCTGGCCTATGTGTGACAATAACTGCCTCTAAACAGGAGTTGTGACATCAGGGAGACATTGAAATGTCTCCCTGATGTACGGTGTTTCCCTAAGGTATAACTTAAGAAATCAACAAAAGAAGGCCTTTCCAACAGTGCGTCTGCACCGTTGGAAATTTCCGCGCCCAGTTGTTAAAATTTGTCGGATCAGTGGGCGACATCTCGTAGCTGCAATCGGCTCAGTGAGAACATGTCTCGGACGCTGAATTCAGGCCCAATTCAAAACATGATTCAGCAACTTTTGATTTGAAACAAGATCCTAGAATGCTGTTTTTCTCGGACTATACAGCTGAAGCTAAGCTGAAACTTCATCAGGTTAGTTGTTCAGCACCCTTTCTTTAGATTTTGAGAAGTTTGTTGCTTCAAACGAACAAAATGCACAAATTACAAATGATGGACTATACCTTTAAGAGTGCATTAACAGGAATTTAAACCATTAGTATCATTGTGTTATTACCTGCATGAATCCACACACGCAAGTCCATGCTGGGAGATTAGCCTGCTCACAGGAACGCTGCTTAGGAATCACTTCAGTAAAGATATTGACAGCTTTGGAAGCAATGGCCCCACCCACTTCATCCATATAAGGATAATGGAGGAGGGACTTCATGCTGAAATGCAAATCTGCATGTACCTTTTATAAAGATAAAAATTGTACGAATTGATTGTGAGGAATTTGCAAACTTATTCAGTACATCGAACTGTGCATTGATTGCAGCATGTGCAATTCTTTGCTTTGGGTCCATTGAGAGATCTGAATAAATTATTGCTGAAACAGATGCCAAGTTTTGTATTAACTTACATCCCAAAATTTAATTCTTTACTGAAAACACGGTTTAAGGAAAACTATGCAAACTTATAAACTACATTGTTATGGAAATGGTCAATTTCTACTTCTTTCATCCCGGCCAAAATTAGTGATAACCTTCTTTTGGTGAATTCTACAAAGAAAAAGTTCTAGTCATAAAAATGTTACATTTCGGAAAACAACATGACATGTTTTAGCAGACAACATTATTTTCAAAAAGAAGCTGCAAAAAAAAAAATTGACCTACAGGGTGGTCCAAAAAACTTGAACGATTTCTTTGGGGAGACACGTTAAAATTGTTTCTTTGGGGAGACATGATAAAATTGTTGCAAGATATTTTTAAACTACAGCATCTTTGTGGTATATGATGAAAACGGCGCTGAAAATAAAACCTAAATTAAGAAATGGCAATGGTTTAAAGAAAGATGGTCAGAAAACTGTTTGTCCACACGCAAGTCTATGAGTTATGGTCAACAGAATAGCATGCACTGCATGCAAAAAGAACTGCAGGTCTACATTAGTTAGGTCTACATGACTGCCATAGACGTGGACAAAGTAGTTTTTGACCGTTCTTCTGTAAATGGCCACTATTTCTTAACTTCAGCTTTATTTTCATTGTCATTTTCACCATATACTAGGCCTACCACCAAGATCTTGTAGTTTAGGAATATCTTAAAGCAATTTCAACATATCTCTTCAATTTTGAGAAATCCACCTCTGAAAAAGTGTTAAAAAAATTGGACCACCCTGTATTTGACCAAGGCGAGCATGGTACATGTGTACATAGAAAAAAATTCCCAGAGGATACAGATTGGAGGCAAAGATGAAACTCACCATGAATCTTTGTTGATTATCAATAAGGTTTTCCATAATGTCAGGTCGCTCTCTCAGAAGCCATGTGGGCATGAGGATGGAGAAAAAAGGTAGCAAGGTCTCATAGTAGCTGCCGAGATGGGAGGGATCCTTGTGTAGTGGCTTGCCGTGGTCTCCTAAAATGAACTAGGATTGGACAAGCTGGTTGAACACATTGTGTGATTGACGGTCGGTTGGTTGGTTAATTGGTTTGTCAGTTGGTTAGTTGTTTGGTAAGTCAGTTGGTTAGTCGGTGTGTTTGTTTGTTGCAATTTTCACAACCCATTTTTTTTTCTCAATAACTTCCAGACAAATGAAAATCAATAAATAAATTGGCGTTCCTGGATGATTTTTTATTTTGTTGTCTGTGGGTTTTTTTTTGGGGGGGGGGGGATCGGAGGGCCATGTTGTAAAGAAACTATTTCATTATTTTCCCCAAATTGCCTAATCCTGTTCCTTCTTGGTACATATAGCCTTGTCTTGGCCTTAAAATTCCGCATAGCAAATTGCAGGCATACAACTTTTCCTCGGATCAGCTGATTTCCTCTTTTTGTACTTCCCACGTGTGCCATTAAAAATGGAAAAACACTGTACAAAGTCTTGGAAAGATTTGAATTTCCTCTCTTTTTTGTGACTTCCCAGTTGCATACCTGCATCTTGGGCCTCCAAGTGTGTGATTTATATGTCATGTACACTTACCACCACAATATTTTTGTTTTCCTGCAATACTCCTTCCAAGAATGTTGCCAGCTCAGCATCAACCTGGTTTCCTGATTCTGTCTCCCTTCTAGTGGAAGGAATCCATTCAACAGAATTTTCGTTTAACAAATTAAACAAAATTCAATCCAACGATTGTTAGACTTACATCTTTTAAATGCCACACTTTGTGGTGATAGGAGTGTTCATGAATGGCTGGAAGTTGTTTCTCTCCACACAAACAGCTCCGAAACAGAAGAGTTTAAAAGCAATACGTTTTTATACAGAAGCGTAGAGATATAAAAAATATTCTTCCAGCAACAAGAAACTATCTTGTCATTACAGTGACTTAAAGGGAATATACAACATTTGCAACCATCGAAAAATAAAACTACCCAGTTTTTACGAAATACCTAAATAGGATGTTGGTAAACGAAAGTCACAAGCATCCTGTAAAATTATGGCACCTGGTGTGAAGTCATTTTCAAGAAAATGGTATTTTTGTAAAAATTTCCAGCGGTGGTCGGCCGACCACCGTTGGAAAAACCTAACTATTTTTCAACTACTGCTCCAAATTTACCATTAATTCAGTCCAAATTTTGTTTGCTATATTGGTTACATGTTCATGAACGGGTGCAGGCCAGCTAGACTGGTACCCTTACCTTACAATTTTCCAGCATCTGTAAATTGATCCATTTTATATTTAGTGGAGTCAGGGAACCAGACTACTTGAACAGTTTTGTTTTTCTTGGTTTTTCAAGCATTTTCGAACACAAAACTTCAACATGTCAGTGCAACAATAATGTGATCTATTATACTAACCCCTGAAATAGTTCATTTCTGAAAATTACAGCAAAAGCCAATGATGTACATTCCCTTTAAAGTAAAATACGGTTATGAAAATCTTACGGATTTTACAGTTATGCCGTATGCATTCTTTATAATTTTGCAGTACATATTGTCTAAGATATTAACATAATTCTGATGTGATAATACCACGAAAAAATATAACTGCCTTTATGCAAGCATGCTTTGGGCACTTCTGTAGTCCCCCCCCCCCCCCCCCAGAAATAATCAAATGGCTTTAAGATATTTACTTGCAAAGATACAATTTTTAGGAAATAATACTCGAGTATGACAATTTTATTCACGGCTACCTGTGTCCAGCATTCAAATCCAGCGCAGCCCATTTTGCCGGATAGGGGTGTGTCAGGAAATCTCTGGTGTAGTTGAGTATGTGCTCATGCAGCATGTGATTGCCATCACACAGACCGGAAAGAACGTTGGGTCTCACCTACAACCAAAATGGAATATAACATTTTACTCTATGACTATGCAAGCATGTACATGTACATGTATAAAAGAAAAGACCAGGCCAGCCTTGAAAACATGATCCCGGAGTGCACAAAATTCTATTCAATTGATTCAGAATAGCTATTCACTGGAAGTCTTTTCATCATGCATATCGCAGAGCTGCCAACTCTCCCTGATTCTGCAGAAAGTTCCCGGAAAATAAACCAATCTTTCCATGTTCTGATCGTGAACAAATTTGAAAATCTCCCTGATTATGGAAACTTTTTCCCTATTATGTTGAATGTCATTCTAAATATGTCCCTGATTGTTGTACAAAATCTCCCTGATTATGGAAACTGTTTCCCTATTATATTGAAAGTACATGTAATTCTAAATATGTCCCAGATTGTTGTACACAATCTCCCTGATTGAAGGGCAACTCTGTGACATTATCGTCTACACACCAGGCCGGATATTGGCGTTATGGGGTAATACTATATAATAATAATAGTAATATCGGAGTCTTATATAGCGCACGTATCTACCAACAATTAGGTACTCAAGGCGCTGGAAATTATGTCTATTATTAAAGAAAGGTAAATAAAGTTTATGAGAAATATGAGACCCATTATGTAGTACCTTATAATGGTTTACAAGGTACTGCGGCGCATATTGCAGCCACTACCAGAAACACCGGGGCAAACCCCTTCTCTTAGCGATAAGTGTTACTGGGTTCTTTAACGTGCATTACACAACACACGGGACCTACGGCTTTACGTCCCATCCAAAGGACGAAGCAATAATGGTAAAGTGCCTTGCTCAAGAGCACAAGCACCATGTTCCCACGGTCAGGATTCCAACCCATGTACCACGGCACACGAGTCGAACACCGTAACCATTGGACCACAGCACCCAGCTGTGTGGCGAAGTAACTGATATTTTCCCAAAGTGTGTAACTGCAATTTTCTTTTTGAAAAGCAGGGGTGGGTTGGACTGGGGTCTCTGGACTGGGGTCTCTGGATATGATATAGCATTGCCTGGATCACAGTCTGTGACAGTCAGTCAGCTATATTAGTCAGTGATCAGTATGTCGGGGAGTCAGTCAGTCAGTCAGATGAATTAGTAACATTGAAGACTTGAGGCACTTGCTTTGGGACTAGCAATATCAGCCATTCCTTCTTCCATGGTTCTACGAACCTCTACCTATATAATCCCACTGGTGTATTCTGCTTTTGGAGCTGTGTGGCGGAGTAACTGATATTTTCCCAAAGAGTGTAACTGCAATTTTCTTTTTGAAAAGCAGGGGTGGGTTGGACTGGGGTCTCTGGATTGGGTTGGACTGGGGTCTTTGGATTGGGTTGGGTTGGGGGAGGGGGACCTAGCACTATTTAACCGAAGACTGTATTAGTAGGCCTATACCGGCAAAACAAACTATGTGGTTGTCACAAAAATTGTACAAACTTCCTGCCCATTGAAAAATGTATGTCACTGCCGATTTTTCTTGATTCATTCAATAAATTTAGGCTCCAAAGTGTGACATTTTTCCTGTCCCTGTATGTTACCTTAGCACTTTGTAATTTGCCATTCAAGTATCATTAAGGTTGTGTAAAAAAGTCAATGGAGAGTCGGGAACATTTTTAAGTATTTCCGAACAAAATTGGAAATGTTTCTCAGTCCCAGATTCATGTCTCATTCATGTCAACATTATTGCAATGACTGACCCTTTTTGAGATGATATATGAAGGGAAAAAAGTGGCATCAGGTTGCAACATTCTTTTCTCATTAAGAATGACATAGGCCTACATGTACATCAATATTTATTTGTTGGGTACTAAGGTAGTTTGCTATTCAATCATTCTTGGAGGACAGACTGCATCAAGGACGACACCAGAAATTATAAAATCATAGATGTCAGATGTAACAGGGATCAGATGTGGGCCCTCAATGTATAGAATATACCAACTGGAACAAAGTAATTTACTCTTCTCACCCCAATCTCACCCCACAAAATTGTATTATTTGAAATCATGATGCAATATTGTCATATTGTTTTTGTTAAAAAATTTTTTTTTAAAAACATGTTTTACCTGTTCATTCTCTCGCTTTTGCCAGCCATGCTCAACGTGGGGCATCACCGGTGGTCGATAGTGGCAAGCCTTGCAAATCCAGTCAAAGAAAAAGACACAAAAAAAGCTCAAACTTTTGTTAGCTTTTCTAAAGTTTGTTGGTGGTGTGGATGAGTCCAATTTTGTTAAGGGGGAGGGGCTCAATTTTCTAGAGGAGGCATTCAGTTTGTCTGACGATATGAAATTAATTTGTGTACCTTGCAATGTGTTCTTGTTCCCATCATACCACTGTTGTTGTCAACACCGTAACTTGTCAGATACCCACGCTTGGCCGCATACTGCCAGATCCATTCTTCAATATCCTTAGCATATCTACGAGTGAATACATCAACAATGAACAAATGAACAATTTGAAACTTAAGAGAAAGGTAGGGATTGGTGTGTTTGATGGTAGATTGGATAATCATTCCTCTTCTGTTTAATTACTCAAATGAAACGTTAAAAAGAAACGTTAAAAAGACACTTCCTTGGCAAGCAGCAAATTTCGGGGTTTTGGGGGGTTGCAGGGGGGGGGGGGCACTAGGGATTTGTGGGGTCATTCCCCCTTGGCTACGCCACTGGACGGTCTGACCATAGATCTAAACACAACGGAATACAATAGTCAGGTGATAAAGAATGTACAGTTTTGATTTTTTTTTCAGTTAAAAATGTGCATGAATTTTATAGATCACATCCTTCAATGTTTCATGACAAGAACTTCTGCTACAACTTTTATGTAGGCCTATATCAAGCCCACGGGAGCGGGGGTGCTGTGGGTGCTGCAGCACCCCCGACTTTTTGGATTGGGGTGCTGGAATATGTTTCAGCACCCCCTACTCCCGGGCAAAAATGTGTTCCAGCCAGCAGTGTTCTACGACGTTGAAATTGCGCCGCTGCGCTATATATTATGCTTGCTCTACAAATATCTCCTTCGTTTTGTTCGTTTCTAGTTTTGCCGCGGCTAAGCGCGGCACTTCGAACGTCTAGCACAAAGTAACACTGTAAAATATCAAGAGGAGGTATTTTCTAAATCTTCAGGCAGTGCAGAATCGATATTTCTCTCAATGTATCTATAATCATGACATGTCTATGATATTTTCCGCCATGCATGATGGAAGCTTTGACCCGAAAGCAATAACCTTTGTCATGACAATGGCGGCAAAGTTGATTATGCTTGCCAGGATTTTTTTCATTCAATCTTTCAATAGGGGCAAATGTCCATATCTTTTCCCTGAAGGTTTTTCTTTTCATTTAAAAGTTTCATTGACGTTGCTAGCAATCTGTACTCAACATTAACAAAAAGCAAGGTTCACACACACACTCCCAAACTAATAGGAGTGGGAGCGGCTTTCATTGAAACTAATCATGCTTCACGCCAATTCCAGTGTAGTTTCGCTTTAATAAAAAAGCTATTCAAGTTTTACCCTTTCATAAAAACTCAGTAGACCGATAAATCCCTGTCTAGATCTAGCCCCAAACTTGCCATCTACCGATCATAAATATAAAGATGCATTTGGTTTGTTAGTCTTTTATATTTGCCATTTCCAGTAACAAACAAATAACACTGCAAATATATCGAGAGTTACATCGTTTAGGCCTTTTTATGAACAGAAATTCATCCGCTTCCAGTGGAACTATTTTGTTTTAACTTGAACCAAAAAACATCCTTTCAGGTTTTATAAGTTTAAGTATATATACATGTACTTCAGTATATTTCATCACAGTGCATCCAGAATCCAACATTTTCCGGGGCCTTAAAGCAGGCCCCTGGCCCTGTGGCCCCACGCCGTAAGGGCTCGGAAAATAAAACAAAACATACACGACGGAATTTACTAAATGTAAGAAAGCAGCCTTGCAACAATATTATTTACATGCGATATCATGCATAGTGATACAATTCTTTTTCCAGAATTAAATGGAACAAGAAATGGAGATAAAAATACAGGGTCCCCACTTTTCAGTACAGTAGAAACGTTATAGGAGCAACAGTATATTCTAAACAAACAAGTGAAATAAATTGTCTTTATAATCTCAAAAAACTTTTGCTAAAAAGTAATATGCAAGTGGCCAGGAATCACCTCAGATTGCACCACGGAGCATCCATATTCCAAAACTTTTAGGGGCCCTTTAAGCCACGCCGTAAGGGCTTTGCACTCCGCGTTTGCATTAATTTTGTCCATCCTTTAGAAATTGCAGCACCCCCTGGCAAAAGTTTGTTCCAGCGGGCTTGATATTCACACCAAGTGTCGTGCCTTGGACTGAGTCCATGCACGTTTCAGACTCCCGGACCCACGTCTTTCTACCAAGTGGCAGGATATTATAGTGTCCATGCACAATTGCACATGAGTGAGTCATCCAGGCTATGGGTACCATTTCAGTTATTCCCGATGGACAGCAACTTGGGTTTCCCTTGACATACTGTATCAACCTGTCACACCACATTGCCAACATCTGGATACTCACATGCCGTTTGCGACTTTGCTCATGTCAATATCCTGATAGAGTTGCCCAGAGAAGAGCGGGGTGAGGTTGAGTGCGGTAGAGCCGCTGATAGAGTTCAGACGATTGAAGAAGAAGGACTGATGGGACGGGGTTCCTTGGCCCGACTGTGAAATATCTGAGAAAAAAAATCAGATCAGTAAAAAGATGGATGGTGTAAAACAAGGATGAAGTGAGCAAGGATGTATCTATCTTACTAGCAAGAGATTTAGTAGGGATGTAATCAAGGCCATCACAAGTCCTGTCAAAAGAAACAGTGGATGAACAATCAGAAAGGAATGCCTTTGTCAAAGCTCATGTGAATGTGAGTTGAATTGGGACTGGAGAACTTGTGATGGACTTGCAGGGAAATTGCAGGGTTTTGTGAGGGACTCGACTTACATCCCTGAGATTTAGTCATCACAAGTCAATCACAAGTCAATTATTTTGCACAATTGGCTCGCCACCTTTTAATTCCCGCCTTAAAACTTTTCATTTCTGAACAAAAAAACAACAATTTAAATAGTCTTTTATTCCTATTTTAAGGTTGAACAAAGAAATGGATCATTGGAGTGGGTTTGAACCTGCGACATGAGGATAACCATTCTGGTGCTCTACCGACTGAGCTATCGCAAGCCTGATGTTGGCAGCTTCCTCATTTAGTCAAAGCCATAAACCTGTATGCCAATGTAGCCAGGGACCACGCCCAAAGTCGTGATGCCAGCAACATTAGCAATGGAAATAGCAAACGGGGATCACTCGGCAGATAGAGGATACAGCTTTTGATCACAAATTCGCAAAGAAACCACATCGTCTTTTTTTCATGTAATTGCACAGTAACAGACTGCCAAGAGCTGACCCAAACTTTGAAAATTACAAAAAGGAAGCCTTCGTTTTGACAAAGTGGTTTTTGATTAATTGAGTTTGTGTTCATCCCTTGGTACTTGTGAGCTGACGTACAATTTGATTTGTAATTGACTCATAATTGGCTATTGATATCCTGGGAGTTTTTCAAGGGGAAAGAGGGAGTTACCCTTCAAGTCATCAGTTAGCAGCTTTTAGACATGTATGCTTAATTGTTTTACAGAGAAACTTTTCTGAACAATGCATTTTACATTGGCTTAATTACTTGGATGGCATGAGAGGACTGGATAGCCTAACTTTAACTCTTGAGTTACCACACAGTAACCAGGATTATTACCTCTGCCAAGGAGGTTATGTTTTCATTTGATTTTGTTGGTTGGTTGATTGGTTGGTTTGTCTGTTTACAAGATAACTCAAAAAGTTACGAGCGGATTTGCATGACAAATTTTTTAGGAGTGGTCCTTGCTACAAGTACAAATTGATTAGATTTTGGAAGTGATCCGGATCTGGGTCTGGATCCATGATTTTTTTTAAAAAGGATTCTTTACCATTTATGCGAGTAATTTATTTGGGATGTCAATATGGCGGGGAATTGTTTAGCCTGGCGGAGGTTTCGCTCTCTGAGTGCTATAAAGTTAGAACTGAATTGTCTGTATATATAGTGGCCACATAAGGTAGGTGTTTAGAGTATTGAGTTAAAGAGCTGTAAATTCATGTTGTCTTTGAATATTTCCACATGATAAAACGTCCCAGGACTTGATTCCTTCAAGAAACTGATGCTTTACAGACCAGGAAAACATTCCAGGCATGGCACCCTGCACACCAAATTCTGATTTAAATGACACTTAATATGCCTCACATACTTGCATTAGGTTATTGGATAATGCAATTATTTAGTTGCCGCCTGCAAATAGTAACCCCCTCCTAGCTTGAGAAACTCCAGCTCCAATTCCTGATGAGCATTGGAGCTGGAGTGTCTCAAGCTATAACCCCCTCCAAGCTTCAGGAAATGGGCATTCACACTCGGTCAGAGACGACAGGTGCACCGTAACACTCTGATCAAGTTCATCTGTGGTACCGTGTGGTTTTCAACCATCCCCCATGGGGCTATAGACTGTATGAAATATGTTTAACAAATTGATTTCAATATGGCCCACGGGATCAGGTAACAAGTAATGGGTCACTCAGTGTGATGACATGATCTGAAAAATCTGAATCAACCGAAAGTGCTCCAACCAAGCCAGACATTTCTTTTGATGGTGGTTTTCACCTGATACATTGATAACGCCACAGTTGAAAAAAAAGGAGTCTTTAATTTGTGGCATGTCTGAATCTTTGATTGTTTACAGAATTCTAAAAAAAAAAACTTGAGTTAGAAACTTCTGTTGTTGTGGCAATGCATTCAAATTTCCAAAAGCCTATTTTTTAGGCAAAGATAAATTTGCATGACGAAACATGCAATCACTCAAAACCATTCAAGAAAATAGGAGGTTATGTATAAATAGGGGGGGGGGAAACAAGAAGCTTATTGTTTTGCCTTTTTTTTTCAACAAGACTATACTCAAATGTCTATTTTTGTAAAGACAAATGCTTACCACTGATATAACCCTGGTAGTAACGCTTAAGCAAAGCCATAGTTTTAGGCAAGCCACAGCTGCGATGGGCTTGTGCCCTGGAAGTTGAGTCCAGGACCACCGTTAGAACCGAGAGGGGTCGCCAGGCTGGCTCTCGACCTTTGACCTCCCGAAGCCTCCCTTCATGCTCTCGGTCAGCTGCCGGCTTGGGCATGAACTGGGTGTGGTAGTTGTGGAGGTCCTGCATCCTGTGCAGAGATCAGGTGAAAGGAAGATGTGATAAGTGAGGCATTCCAATCCGTTGCTTGCACCAAAATGTGCCATGTCAGTGATGGCTTAACTTAAAGTCCGGCTGGGGAACAGGGTATGGGACACCTAAGCAAAGTTCATTATGAGGCAGGTAAACGAATAAATACCCATCTCCCAAAAGTTAGACAAATTGTCCCATCACTTTTTTTGTGAACATTTCATCTAGAATTTCTGACAACCAAGTCAAGTTTGTCTTGAAGCGTCAGTAGCCAAAACTTTGTCCACAAAACTCTGATAAAATAAAATGTGGTATAGCAATGTGAGCTTATTAGCTAATAATGTTGGGGTCTTGGGATGATAAGAGGAAACTTGCATGGACACATTGATAAGAGCAGCGACAAAGCCATGATAGACAGCCCAACAGACAGACAGACAGACAGACATACCGACTGAAGGTCCATCAACAACCAACAACTGCATATCATGGACATTTTATTTTCAAACTCAAAAGTACAAATGATTTTACGACCCTTTTCAAAAAGCTTGAGTTTTAAAGTGCTGAAACATGTCCACTCTTTTCACCTTAAGCCCGGTTCATACTTGGCGCGAAAGCGAAAGCAAAGCGAAATTTGTGGCGTCAACAATACATTCAAAGCGCGTCCACCATTGTTGACGACATGAATTTCGCTTCGCACAAGCTTTCGCGTGAAGTATGAACCGGGCTTTACACATTCCTGACTTTTCGCGACAAGGATGCTTATCTATTGATAAGTTACGATAATGAATCAAGGGATCCATGTATTAAAGTGTTTTTTTTTAAATGCAATACTTTAGATACACCTTCAATTTTAATCTTTATAAAATGAGTGCCTTTTTACTTTTTATGCTATGTGAATTGCCATATTTATGAGCAAAAGTGTTATCTGCGTTTCCAGAATATTCAATTTTTTGCTGCGGTATAAATTTCTGTTCTTTGGGGGCTGATTCATTGTTGTTCCAGTAAGTCAGCGGAGCAAACTTTAAGCAAAAAATCCTGACAACTTTTTGGCTGCAACGTTTGAATAGAAACACCCCTAAATCACACTACAATGCTCTAAGTTGTCGGGGGGGGGGGGGGGGAATGGAACATTTTTAATAATTTTTAAAAAATAAACATTAAAAAAAGATTAACAATAAGGGATGTTTGATAGTTTTTAAAAATTTCAGAGGAAATGGAAAGTTGCATAAAATATATTCCACTGTCTGAATAATTTCAGTGTCTGCTCTCTCAGGCCGGCTTGCAAGGGTAGTTAAGCTCAGTATAATTTTTATGATTCATTGATGCTGGTTCAAAATGTAAATAATCTCGGGTAGACTTCCCTGTAAAGCTGCAGACAAAGATATCATCAGTGTGTCAATAATACAACATTCTTCACTTTGCCGGTTTTGATAGAGGGGTGCAAGATCAAACCCTTTGCACCCCTTTATGTAGACACAGCTCTACCATAGAATAAATGCTCAAGTACCGAGGCATGTTTGTTTCATCAAAAAAAAAAAAATGGCAGTGCATTTTGCCACTGATGAGAGATCTTTACCAGAAAAAAACCCTCTATGAACTTTGAACATTTCTGTACTGTATGTCAGTAATTGAAATGTGCAACCGAGTTGTACTGTATGCATCTAGCAGCTCGTGGGCATCAGTCCAAATCTTAATATCATTAACCGAACATGTACAATGAATAACAAAACCTGGGTCGATTTAAAATGAAAAGCTGAAGGAACTTTAGCGGTGCATGGTTTTGGAGTTAGGGGCAAGTTTGGCAAGATTGGGAGTTATCCATTCGAGTTAGAGCAGCCAGCTACTTCTTCAACTTCGTTCTTTTACACCCACGTAATTTTCTAAATTTTATGATTTAATTTGTAAACTTTTGATGGGCATTCTTACATTGGACCAAGTTTTATTTCAGTGTGATGTAAGTTTTTAATCTGGAAAAAAGTTCTGTCCTCTTTTACTGATAGCCTGTAACAAAGACAAGTCTGGCCTGCACTCTACCTACTCAAATGAAACTCAAGTTGTACAATTTTTGAGAACTTAATTTTCACCCTTTCTGAATTTCCATGCAATCAAAGCAATTGAGCTTTGAAAGTTATTGAGGATGTCACTTAATTGTGTTATGTATTCTTGAAGGAAAGGGTGTGCCTGCCAACAACTGTGTTTAAGAAGCCCAAGAAAAATCATGAATAATAATAATAATATAATAATAACGGCAATTTATAACGCGCCGGTATCCGCCATAAATGATGCTCATGGCGCAATACAAAAATTCGATCAAATCAGAAATAACAAAACAAGTAAATTTAACTAAACAAGAATATTGTGAGTGATCTGGAACAAATAGGTCTTCAGGGCCACTTTAAATTCAGAAACTGATGAGAGACTGCAAATGGCAAGGGGTAGTTTGTTCCAAAGATGAGGACCTGCGTTAAGAAAATGATAGAAGAAGCCAAAGAAAGATCGTGAGTGAATTCTAAAATGAGACACTACTGGTGAGTTTTACAGTTCGCAAAATTGTTTTTATTGAACTCTGCATGCTGAGTGTATTTTTGTCAGTTTGTGTTTTATGGTTCTATCTCTAAGGCCCAAAAAAAAAAATATTCGGTCTCTGGTCAGACCAAAGTTCCGGAATTGACGCGGCCACGTGGCTTTTTTTTTTTTTTTTGGCCTTTTTTTTTTTTCCTTCAAGCTTGGATTGTACAGACAAGGTGGGTACTATTTTGCTTTTTTGGTGTCCTCGTGTACATTGGTGTCCTCCATAATTTGCCTTGGTGCTTTCGATCATTTGCCTTGGTGCAATTTCCCATTCCTTGGTGCTCTGTGGTAAAAAAAAATGAGAAGGTGCGGAAATAGAGGGCGCTGTTGGAGCTACCGCTGAATATTTTGGGGAAAAAAAGATCGACGCGCATGGTTAAAATCGACGCGCGCGCTGACCAGAGACCGACTTATTTTTTTTTTTGGCCTAAACAGACAGCTCGACGAAAAGCTACAGCCAACCAAAAAGCTACAGCCAACCAATCCTCCACTTCCAAATGAAACTATCACCAGCAAGTTTGTATTAGGGCAATAGCTCTTCAGCTTTTCCATAAATTTCCTTTCTCTTTCTTCAGTGGCTATATATACACCTTATTTCCACAGTTAGGTTATTCACGAGGTGTGCACCAGGAATGTTGAATGATAGTTTCCTCTTAATCCGGTTATTACCCTGATACAATCTGCTCCCAGACTTCCTAATCTTTCTAGGCATCAATATTATGGCTAGATCTCCAGCGGCTACATGGGTTATTTGAAGTCTACACACAAGAACCCCACACTTAATCACTATTATAGTGTAATCTCTGTAGTAAAATAGCCGGAATGACTGTGGGACAAATCCGATTCCTTCACAAAACACTTTTTTTTCTTGGAGGGAAGCCAATCAAAGAAAATCAGGTTTGGAGGTCAACACATTTAATCCATGGGGCATGCAGGGTGAAGCTTTTTTTCTGAGGTCGTGTGTTAATCATGTACTTATTTTGCTTGAATGAACACTGGAATTTCTATTGAAACTATTCTGTAAAAAAACGTGAAGCCAGAAAGCACCGTGACGATTTTCTTCTGAAATGAAAGCCAGGGTTCGTTGTAGGCCTCAAAGGTGGATCCAGACTCGCGAAGTTACTTGGGGGGGGGGGCAGAATTAAGGGCTCTCTTAAGTGAAAAAAGGCCTTATTTGAGGCAATTTCGGTCACTGCGGGGGGGGGGGGGGGGATCTTCCACTGGGCCTACAGCAGACATAAAGTGAGTTCAAACAAATAGTCAGTGCACTAGGCTGCATCGAAAAAATCCCGTTTTTTTTTTCCTTCAAAGCTGAAAGTCCACCCTTCTCAAAAAGTTGGTTTACCCCCAAATAACTGATGGGATAAACTTTGAAATGAATCAGACAAATGCATGGTCTCAATAGTTCCTCTTGCATGCTCATCAAGAAATAAGAAACACAAAATCGTGATTATAACAAAGCAACCAACAGTGAACAAATTAAAATATATTTTTTTCAAATTCAGCAAAGGTTATTAAATTGCTCCAGTAAATGTGTTTTGTTTAGCTTTACGACTGCCGTTTTAGTTTTGTTGAAAATTCCAGAAGTACCTAAGAAAAGCTCTGGAAAGTACCTGCCTGCAAAGCCGGCTGCAATTCAGGAATTGCAAGAAATAAGTAGATTTAGGATCTTTTGACTGCTCTTCATTAGTATTTATCTACAACCATGGTATCCTGTTGCATGTTCCAGTCATTAATACATGCTTGGATGGTAGGCCTATTTATTGGTGTGTATCATGGATTTAAAGGAAATATACAACATTTGCTTTTTTGCTGCAATTTTCAGAAATGGATGGATTTGGGGGTAGTATTTTTTAGCAACTATTGTTACACTGACTTGTTTGAAGATGTATGTTCGTAGATGCTGGAAAAACCAAAAAAACAATCATGTTCCTGTTGTCTGGTTCCCTGACCCCACATAAAATAAAACGGAGCAATTTATAGACGTCTGGGAATTGTAAGGTCAGGGAACCAGTCTAGCTGGCTTGTTCCCATTCATAGGTGTGTAATCGATTGTAAACAAAATGCACCGCTAACTAAATTTGGTAAATTGGGAGCAGTATTTGTAAAAAGCCAGTTTTTCCAACGCTGGTCGGCCGACCAGCGTTGGAAATTGATACAAAAATATCACTTTTCTTGAAAATGTCAGGACACCAGAGGCCATGATTTTACAGGATGCTTTAGACTGTCATTCACTAACAGTCCAGTAAGGAATTTGATAATAATTTTTTTGTTTGTTGTTTTGATGTTAGCAAATGTTGTATATTCCCTTTAATGTCTTGTTGCCGGAAGTTTTTCATGTCAGCTACAGAACTGTACCTACTTTTCATTTTTGCAGACCACATCTGCATATTCGGTTTCCATGGCAATCTCTTGGGGTCCTTGGTAGTACTTCCAAATGGCTTTCCGTCTGTAGCTGTTCTTTGTGACCAATTCCTCCGACTCTGTTCGATCAAGTTGGTTGACCCGAAACCTGCCCGGGCAGCTGACTGTGATATTCCTGCCATGCGATAATACAAAATAAAAATAACCAAACAATTACTGAGAAAAATGTGCAAGTCCCTTCTTCTGAATTTTCATTAACAAAATGATCTATAGAGTATTTTAAGTCTTCATAACCATGAAGAAACTTGAAGGAGAGATGTTTGCTCTTTCTTTCTTTCTTTCTTCTTTCTTGACAATGCTGATGAGGGGCTTGGGAGGGGGAGATGTCCTTTCCTCCAAAATAGACATTATTTATTTTCTATGTCCTCAAAAGTGTACTTCACCTTAAACCTGTTACTTATTTTAAATGTTTAACTCAAGATGACAAGTTGCCAGGGAGGTGCGAATGGGATAATTATTCTTCATTAACATCCATTCCCAGAGCTTTCTTCTGTTAACTTTAAAGTTCAAATTTCACATATTTAAGTACCACTTTTCAAATATATGAAATCTGAATTTTAAATATAACAGAAGAAACTTCTGGGAATGGATGTTAATCGAAAATAATTATGTGCATTTGGTGAACATACAATATATCTGTCATGAACGGCACCACTGAGAATAATTTTCAACATTCAAATGTGTGTATAAAAAAATGTCAGGTCTCTTTAACTTCCCACTCAAAAAAGAAATATTTATATCACTTGATTTACAAAGGGTTTACCATTTGTGAATAGAATTGAGAACTCCCTCCTTAAAAATTCCCAGCTATGTGATGACCTGGGGAAGTTCTAAATCATCTGTCCTTTTTCTGAAAGTTAAAGTGAATCTTTTTCTCACTAGGGCTATAAAACAAAATCTGGCTATAAAAAAAGACTATTAAAGGGAATGTACATCATTGGCTTTTGCTGTAATTTTCAGAAATGAACTATTTGAGGGGTTAGTATAATAGATCAAATATTGTTACACTGACATGTTTGAAGTTTTGTGTTCGAAAATGCTTGAAAAACCAAGAAAAACAAAAATGTTCAAGTAGTCTAGTTCCTTGACTCCACTAAAGATAAAATGGATCAATTTATAGATGCCGGAAAATTGTAAGGTAAGGGAACCAGTCTAGCTGGCCTGCACCCGTTCATGAACATGTAACCAATAGAAAACAAAATTTGGACTGAAAAAAGTACAGTTGGAGCAGTAGTTGAAAAATAGTTAGGTTTTTCCAACGGTGGTCGGCCGACCACCGTTGGAAATGTATACAAAAATACCATTTTCTTGGAAATGACTTCACACCAGGTGCCATAATTTTACAGGATGCTTTAGACTCTCATTTACCAACATCCTAGTAAGGTATTTCGTAAAAACTTGGTAGTTTTATTTTTCGATGTTTGCAAATGTTGTATATTCCCTTTAAAACCCATTTTGTTTTTTTCATTTTAATCTGTTTTCATGTATACATACATCATGGCAAATGCAGCCGTGCTGGGTGGGAATCTGAAGAATGCATAGTGCAATACTTTGATCAAGGGCAATGGGAAACACACAGTTGAGAATACAGAAGCTGCTGGGAAAGTGGGCAGAGGCTCGTTAACTTATTTTTAAAAAAAATGAAGCTAGTTATTTCAAATGTGTTTGTGAAAGAGAGAATATCTTCAAAAGTATTTAAGTGTGTGTTTGGAGTGGTAGAGGTTTCTCATGCTTATGAAGCACGTACTAGATTTAATTCTAACATGTTTAAAACCATTTTCTGGTTCATATATATGCATTTCTCTAGAATGTACAATGTATTTGCAACCACTCCCTGGGAAATGAGCACTACCAAAAAATTTAAGATCTTCGCTGAAAACTCCCCCAAAGTCAAAGTCTGAGGAATTTTCATAAGTACAAAACAATGGAATGTACAAGCTAAAGACGCTTCTTCCAAAGAGACATCAAGTTGCTGCTTCTGTCTGTCAACAACACTTCAGTAGCCCCTGACTGCCAGATGTTTTTGTGGATATACATTTTCCAGTGGCCTAAGACTTGGTCATGTTTAGGGAAACATAACGTTCACTGGCACTACTAAAGACTGTTACAGCTGTCTAAAAACAGGAACCATCCTATTATAGTTTAGACTTGTTACAGTCCAGCTTGCAGTCTAGTCTCTCCTTCAGAGTCTAATTAAGACACATAAGGCTTTTTCAGTTTTACAGTTTGTAAAAAGTAGTAAAAAAACTAAACAAGTGTATGAATTCCATGAGATCGGTACTAATATCCACCTTACCGTATATACACACAATTATATAGTGGATGTCACTGACTGGGAATCAAACCCAAAAAGCTTAAAAGGTAATTAATGTACAACATTTGCTTATTATGCTGTAAATTTCAGAAACGGTTGGACTTGGGGTTAGTATTTTACAGCAAATATTGTTACACTGAATGTTGTTTACGAATGTGTAGCCAATTGCAAACCTGATGTGTAGCCAATTGCAAACAAATATATGTGGAATAAACTAAATTTGGTATATTGGGGGCAGTATTTGAAAAAGTAAGTGGTTTTCAACAATGGTCGGACGACCTTCGTTGAAATTGATACAAAATTTCACTTTTCTTGAAAATGACATCTTACCGGGGTGCTATGGTTTCACAGGATGCTTGAGACTGCTATTCACTTACAGTCAAGAAAGGTATTTCAAATGCTTGCAAATTTTATTTTTTATTATTAATAGAAGTTTATTACCTTTAAAGGTGGAAAGTAGAGCCATTGACCATGGAGGAATTGACCAACTTAATTGCCAAAACAGAGTTTTCCTCTTTGAAGGGATATATAAGGGCTCGGAGGGGTTTGGTGGCTTGGGGTATATGGGACAAATTGAATTTCTTATCACCTGGGTTTAGGCTCTTCTGAACCTGACAAGTTCATGCAGCTTCAGAGCCCAGATTGGGTGCTTAAAGGGAATATACAACATTTGCAAACAACGAAAAATAAAACTATCAAGTTTTTGCGAAATACCTTAACAGGATGTTGGTAAATGACAGTCTAAAGCATCCTGTAAAATTATGGCACCTGGTATACTGTCATTTTCAAGAAAAGTGGTATTTTTGTATCAATTTCCAACGCTGATCGGCCGATCAGCGTTGGAAACAACTGGCTTTTTATCAAATACTGGCCCCAATTGACCATTGCACTTGTTTGCAATCGATTACAAACCTATAAACGGGTACGAGCCAGCTAGACTGGTTCCCTGACCTTACAATTCCCCCAATGTATGTAAACTGCTCTGTTTCTTCTTATATGGAGTCAGGGAACCAGACTACAGGAAAATGATCGTTTTTCTTGGTTTTTATAGCATTTTCGAACCCAAAACCTCCAAAAAGTTAGTGTAACTATATTTGCTTTATATTTCCGACCCCCCAATTCCACCCATTTCTGAAAATTACAGCAAAAGCAAATGATGTATATTCCCTTTAACTCTTGGGGCTGCAGCTATCCGGCTGCCTTGGGGAAAGGGTAATCAGTAACTCAGCAGCTGGACCATGGATAATTAAGCTCTCCAATCCTTGCAGCACAGAGGAATTAGACACATGTGATGACATTGAAAGGTGGACTACAGAGGTACTCTGGGACACTGCACTGTATGCAGGGAGTATTAATTGCCGTCATTTTTCTCTTTCTCTGTGATTCCGTTCACTACTGGTCACATACTGTGAAGACAGGAACCGATCCAGGAACTTCGGACAGTTTGGGGTGGGGACAGGTGGGGGGGGGGGTTATAAGGGAGGTCTGACCTTTAGTGCTTATAACCCAGGGTTGGCTTATTTTTATGTGTCAGCACCGACTTTACGACTGAATGTTTGCGGAAACTAAGCCTCATGTTTTTCAGGGTGGGGATCCTAGCTGACCCCCTCCCAGCCCAATAAATATGCACTGCATCCCATATCACCTGTGCTTGAGATGACCATTTTTCCTTCCTCCATGAGATGACATAATATCCGAATACCTACGAGTGTTTAGCATAAGCAGTACCGGTATCTGAAAATTTCTAAAATTTTGCCCCAAAACAAAGACATTTTAGACATTCTAGGGTTCAACATGAATACACCAGGCCAATCAGATTAAAAAGAAATGATGATCATTTCATCAGGGCTGTGAGCTCTACAAAATCTCTCACTGTGCTGTCAAGGATGCATCTTCGTGCAGCACACTAACAAAAGAGCAAATTTAATCAATTTTTGTTGTTAACTGAGAAAGATTGCTTTCAAGGCCTCTGGGAAATAGTTTTTGCTTCCATGAATTGGCAGATAAGCAATAAAAAGAGGACATAAAGATGGTTTTTATTAATCAACTTCTCTGGTCAGCAGGAATACCTTCATTAATGAAGTCCCTGCTGTTATGGCTACTAGTGCCATATGTACCCACCGGGGGTGTTGCTGAGCAAGCTTAATACCTGACACTATGTGTCCCTATAGCAGCCAGATGTTTTATATTGACCATGAAACTGATGGTGTATTTGTGCATTTGAGTTCAGAGGGACCAGCGTACGTATGCGCAAATTGTAACAAGAATGACATGGACCAGTTCTGAAACCTGATTTTTTTTTTTTTTTTTGATCTGGGGTTTTGAAGAACTACATGCATTGTCAAGAAACAGATAAATTCATTATTCAGTCAGAATAGCCCAACGTTTCAACCCAAGAGAAATGTATCAAAAGAATTTACTTTTGAGAAAGATTGTTTCCAGTTGGCAACAGTTTATCATTCCACCTGTGACATGCATGCACCTTATAGGGATCAAATAGAAATGTGTTGAAAGGGGGCTGCTGGTTGAACCCCCCCCCCCCCTCCTATAAAAAAATTAATTAAGACATCAATTTATTCATTTATAAATGTGTTCCTATTTTTTATAAGTTCATTTACTCATATTTTTGTTTGCCCATTTGCCTATTTGTCAATTAGTTCAAATGCTCGTTTTCCTTATTTTCATCCATTTAGTTGTTACATTTCTATATTTGTTCAGTTTCACATTCATTCATTTTGTTCATCCAGTTGTTCACTTGCTCATTAAGTCATTTGTTCATTTTTACATCTGTTCACTTGTCAACTACGTGTAATCCCTTGTTCATTTATTTCATTAGATCACAGGTTCATCAGTTCATTTAAGTGCTGATTAGGCCACAAAAAAAGTCTCCGGTTTCTGGTATGCGCGCTCGTCGCCGTAGCCATGCGCGTCTGCGAAATGAAAAAGTTTTTTTTTTCAATGAAAGATGATGTCTCAAAACCGCCAAACTCACTGGTTTGACTGGAATCCTGCTGCTGCACAATTTTAATGTGTTTTTAGATGGGGTTATGATCGAGAATAAGCTTTATGTGGCCTCTCTGGACTCCCATATATTTGCACTAAGTGTAGTCGGGCACCATTTGCAGTCATCAGTCGACATTTGAAGCAAAAAAGTCAGGTAAAAAAAAAAAAAGCCGCGTCGCCGCACCACTTTTTGGACAAGCTCCATACCAGAAACCGGGGACTTTTTTTTTGGCCTTATGCTCATATGTTCATTTATCAGTTGTGCATTATATGTGTTCCCAAATGGATCTCTCCAAATATTCCTGAAGTAACTGTCCTACCTTGTTGTGGTCTATAGAATACCCGCTTGCACACAGTACAAACATCTATGATACGCGTGCAGAGCCGACAATTATTTATGCAAAACAGCACCATGTCTTGACCTTCAAATTCTGACCATTCAGTGGGCACCTTCTATCGGGTCTTCAGAAACTTTGTTGTATCATAAAAGCATGGCAGCAAATTGACCAATGAGCAGCTTAGTTCAGATTTCTGCAGGAAAAGACATCACAATCCCTAAAGTTGACTCCGATTGGCTGGCGCGGGTTACTGCATTGCTCACATTATCAGACCTTTTCGCGGAGATATCGTGCGGGCTCCGTTGAACAACAGATGATACTCAGACTAACCTTGTTGCGGGATTGAATGACGAGAAAGAAGGGACCATATTGCACTCCCATCCTATCCGCTCCGGGCACATCTTATCTGGAGCCTTCAGGTTGGGCAACTGACAGACACTGTCACTCCTTGGTCCCATCTCATCCAAAAATAGCCTGTCGGTCATGTTCTGCAGCAACCAAAACCAACGCTTTTCAGCTGAAAGACATAAAAAAATAATAACATTTAACCTATAACGAGGGTAGGAGGGGGTATTTTTGATGGGGGGGGGGGTTCTGATGACTAGGGTCGATTATGCTGCAAACAAAGTGTGGTCATTACAGTAAGATCTCACTCTCTCAGTTACACAGGCTGTGCTGGAATTTCCTTATAGAATTCTCCCCCATCCGCCCATCTGTTTACCAGTAAGTGGGGTTATATTTGACCCGGAAGCAGGAAAAAACCCATAAGTCAGACTGGGGTTGATGCTACGCTGCAAACATAGCAAGTACATGGTCATTTCATGAATGACTATGGTTCACATCTCACTCTGTCAATGTCACTTACACTAGGCAGTGCAGTTTCCTTATGAGGTCAAATACTCTCCCTTTTACCCTACGTAAAATTTACAAACTCAAATTATCTAGAAAAGGTACCAGTATGACAGCAGTATAGCACAAATAGAAAGGTTCTTTTTTTTTTTAATATGACTTGATAGAAACATGGAGGAAGAAAATAGAACAAGTAAATGCTATTGATGTTTGAAAGAGGCACTTCTTAGATTGCTCATTTTAAGATAAAAAGCAACCTAGTATTACTTTGAAATAAATTTTTAAACATAGTTGGTACTAAACAACAGTGCTCACGACTACAAGTTCAAGTACAGGACAGAGATTACACGGACTGTAAGACAGATTCATTGGAGCTGGAAATACCACTTGCGTGCCAGTATGTCATTAGAACATACTTGATCCAATTATTAGCAGATGACTGAGATGTTCAAGACTTCAAGTGATTTCTTACGAGCAGCAATTCTCATCTTTGCCATATAGAAACTTCCAGCCTTATTTATAAGGGGCCTAATTCACCACTGCAGCAACGCCTGTACATCTCTAAAGGCATAGGATCAGTTGCATTTATCCAAAAAAGGAACCTACACCAAATTATTATCAAAAACCTTACTTGGATTAAAGATCGTACTGGAACTGTCAATTATTCCTTCTGGCTTGCTGTCATTTAGAAGCAAAAGAAGCAATGTACATGTAGGTGATTTCCAACGATCAGTCATTCACTGATTTTTTGAACCAAAAAAATGCTACTGACGAGTGACGAAATCGTACGTGTTGTGCATGGGCTTTAAGTTTTCTCAAAAAGTGTAATATCCTCCAAGCTGAAACTTCAACAGGTATAGATTGTGAACATTCTTCTTTGGATTTTGCGTGGTGTTTTGGATACGAACAAAAAGCATGAAAAGCAAATGATCCTAAATGCCTCAACAGTTCCCACTGGCCAGAACAGGCAGTTTGTTGAACACACAGCCTCAGGGTCGAAAGAGCCAAGAGTTTGGTAAGACTGAGAATCTCTGTAGGGCTTCACAAGTTGAGAACATCTTTGTCCTCATCTCAGCGGTTCTGCAAACATTACTGAGCCTGTAAATGCTGTCTCTTTCATAAGTTGAGGGATGAGGGCCAGTTTGAACATGTAAGGATTCATTGTTTGACGGAACTTTTAAACTGTGATTGGTTTCTCAAGTACCCATGCCTGAGGTACTATCAAGCAAATCCTTCCTCAACAATTCTGTCACATACCTATTGTATCTTAATCACCCACCCCAATCAACATGTATAGTAAAGTTTGCAGACTGATGAGGATAACATAAAAATGCACATGAACTGACAGTAGGTGTACCTACATGTATAGCGATCACAGTGGAACTAATTAGTCCTCTTTAAAATGATGCTACCAGAATCTGAATGTAACTTTAAGGCCCTCGACTAATTGAGCCAAATAGTGTGTTTCTAACTCTTGCATAAATCAGTATGGGCTCATAACATATAGGCAAAGGAGTTCTTAATATAAAATGAACACATTTCTGTTTATTCCGACAACTGTTAGTTGAAGCATAAATTATTATTATCATTAGGCCTATGGTTTATTTTCCATGTTATAGTAGACCATAGGCTGAACTGCACAGTGGATTACAATTATACCATAAAAACATATTAATTTAAAAGTATTGTTTACTTCAACTAAAATTAAAAAAAAAACAACATTGAAAAGGTTAAATGATTTTTTTTGAAATTGCTCATTGAAAACCAAACTTCGCCCCGTGACACAAAACACAATCACGTAATCACTGACACCATGATGGAGGAATAGTTAGTTCCTGGAGGAAGGAACACTGCAGGAAAGAGTAGGCCTACAGTAACAGTGCACCATGTCAGCCAAAAGTTCATCACATTTACGTTACAACTTGAGACAATCTCGAGTCATCACAAACCAATCATGTTAAATCACCAAGTTACATGAATGCTTTGTCACTTTTATATGGACAGCTTCAAGACAGATTGACTCATGACTGACTTGTGCTAATGTGATAACTTGTGGTGTCTCAAACACCATAAAAGCGTATTGTCAATACTTCATTTTCCTAGCTGTATTCCAGTTTTTTGAGAGGCTATCAACTCTGGACTCCCCCCCCCCCCCCTCAGATCTCGGCCACTGAGTGAGAAAAATTATGAAACTCGGTGCATGCATAGTAGAACAACTTTGAACATACCCAAGAAATTTCATGACTATAGGTTAAATGGTTTTGGAATTATCGGCTAATTAATTATTCATATGTACCAACGGTAATTTTGCTTTGTGTACACTACATATGGGAAAATTCAGTTTTCATGGCACACAGCACCGAAAAAATTTGCTGCGCGGTAACCCATAGTCGGAATGTTATGTTTTTGGTATCAAAAGATGCGCAAGACTCGAAGCTTAAAAGTCAGGAATAGTTGGGTCGGGAATACTTCTTTCTTTTTTTGCAAGGGAATCGCGGAAAAAGTTGAGGGGTCAAGAAAAAGAAGGGAAAAAAAGGAAAACTACTGATGCAGAAAAAGGCCAATGCATATTATGTGCCAAGAAAATACACAACCACACCAACTAATTAACAACCCAACAAAATTTTTTTTTTATTTCAATATGCAGTTGTTTGACACAATAAAAATATATACACAAACAACTCCACAACGACAGCTTTTTTGCGTAGACAACATCCAGGTAATTTAATGGCCGCTGAAATGTAATTTAAAAACCTGTATCGGATACAAGTTTCTGCATCCACAGACTTACTGTATACTTGCACACCATTCTGATGCAACTCTGTTGCTGGCCATACATGTACATTTAAAGAGTTGGGAATGAATAACAGCACACAACATGTTATGTAGAGGGCAAGCCAGGCCTAGATGAAAGGGAAGTGCTTATTATGGCCTCATTCAGCAGGGCCTGACAGACTGCACAATGTGATGAGGATTACTTCAATTAACCCCACTTGACAAATCTGTGATTTAATCCCTTCCCCCTTGGGCAGTGGAAGGTGTTCATCAGGGTCACATCGCAGGGGGCCAGGAGGTGTACTGTCTAAGATACTAGACTTATTTCAAGCCTTTTTTCACCGAGGCACACCTCTACAAATGAAAAAAAAAAAAAAAAAAAGAGAACAGATCTCAGTCAAATTGAAACGTCAGCCATTTTGTGTACAGTACATGCCGGTGTACTTTACTTTTTCAGAACAGAAACTAAATAAATGATTACATTACTTTTTCCTGTGATACAGGTTTTTGTATTCAAGTCTTTTGGCCAAAGATTGGATTTGGCTTTTGTTCCCCTCATGTAACTGATCGCGATTGCTAGCCAGTGATGTCAAGCCACTGCAGCAGCTAGAACAGGGCACTGTATTTGACTCATCTTGTCAACTTGCATGCAACTGGGAAGTCACAGAAAAAAGAGGAAATTCAAATCTTTCCAAGACTTTGTGTACAGTGTTTTTGAATTTTAATGGCACACGTGGGAAGTAAAAAAAAGGAGGAAATCAGCTAATCCGGGGAAAAGTTGCATATCTGTCCAGTCAATATATGCCCTCTTCCGCCGCCACAGGGAAACAAAAATGGCCAGTCTCAGACCGAGACAATTTTTTTTCCAAAGGGAAAAGGAGAGGGTGTCAAAAGTACAAAAGGGTATTTAATGATGTGATCTGGACTCCCAAAAATAAAGCCATCATTTGGTCTTTGCTGAATTTGATGACTAACTGTAGCTATAGTCAGGCGCAAACAAGTCTACAGCATGCACCTTAAAATGGTCATGATATGAGTACCATAGTGGAACTGTGTAATAATAGCCCATCATGCACACCAATACACCCTGAGTTGTTTGGCCCTTGCTCTATGCATAGACTACCGGTACGTCTGTTTCTATACATGTTTCTATACAAAGTGATAAATTCGCTAAAGCCTGCCAAGAGCTCCAAATGAAACCTCTTAGGCTCTATACACAAGGAAAGCATAACAAAACTGTCCGAGTTTAATGAGCAGGAATGATCTTTCACATAATGGGGAAATGCATAAAAGGAGAGTCCATAGTACAACAATGTTTCATCAATTAGGACTATCCTTAGTCACAAACTCCCTATTGGAATAGTATGGTAGACCCGTGGACCCTTGGAGATCTGCAGACCCCTATTAGGCCCAAAATTAGATACACCGCACAGGTCACCACTCACCATTTGGATGGCCTCAGGAGGTGCTTTTAGGGTGGTCATCTTTGTAGGGAAAACTGAATTCATGCAAAAGTCATCTTTCAACCCACAAAAATTGTGTGGCCCTGCCATAATTAATGCTTGCAGGGCAGACATGTTTGTATAACTACTGGCTTCCGTTGGCCGCATGTAACTCTACAAAAATAACTACCATAAAGTGAAGCTGTTTATGATTCAGCACATCCATGACAACATTCCTGCCTAAGACACCCCCCTCCAAAAAAAACACGATTAGTTTGGTTTTACAACTGGTTTGGAATGTCGATTGACTGATACCATCTCACTGCATGTGAAATTGTGTAGGTTTCAAACCTATAGCTGACACACTATTTCAGACCTGGGCATTGTTTTTTGAAATCACAAAAAGGTGAACCTCTTCCTTTAATGGAAAAAAAAATCTCCAGTTAATAGTTAATGAAAAATAAAATCAATAAAATCAAAGAACTTACCTTGAGCAATATGTTTTTTCATCATAACATTTTTGATTCAATATAAATCCATTAAAATATTGAAACTTACATTTAAATAGCACAGTTTGTCAATCCAATTTTTCTTCTTCAACATTAATGTCATGCATTGCATTGCAAACTAGCCATAACAACTTGCAATAGTACCTTTTTCTGTATTTTAATCAAATAAACTTTCCTTTCTGGCCTAGTAATGATAAGATTCTGCTAGACCATCTAACTTTCCAGATTTAGTCAGCGCACTCAAGTCTGGTATGAAGTTTACAGTTGAATTATATGTCCTTACTTACTTGAGTACATTGTATTTTTACTGCAATGAAAAGAACATCAAAATGTTTCTTTCATAAGTGCACTGCTGCTTGAAACACCCAAAAAACTTGCATCTTTGTCCCTTTAATATTAGTGTCCTCAAAAGACTATCCTCTTGAGGACAAACCCCAAGTGACCTATTATATAAACATCAAAATAAACACCAGCCATGCAACCCACTCTGTCCAAGTGGTGACCTAAGGACACATCTGCATAGTTGCTGGGCACAGAGCCAGTAACAGGCTATGCCCTTCAAGACCATGCTGGGTTCTTGTTGTTAAAATTGGGAAGGCTCATCAAAAATGTTAAAAACCCTTTCTAAAATCCCCCCCCTAAAAAATTAAATTCTGGCAAGAAATACTTTAGAGAGGAGTGTGTAGGTGACTATTGTTTTTTCTTTCTTTTCTTTTTATCCACTGCAATACAGTTAGATTAAAAGTTTGTTTATAACTATTTTTTTAATTTGATCTTGAAATTGAAAGAGCTGAGGGAATTTGTCGAAAATGTTAGAAAGCCTCTTAACCCCCCCCCCCCCCCTCCAAAAAATATCAAATTCTGGCAAGTAATGCTTTGAAGAGGAGCATGTAGTGTCCTTTGCTTTTTTTTTTAATTGCATAACATTTACTTTTAAAAGTTTGGTTTTAATTATTTATTTTTTAATTTGAGAAATGGAATTGAAAGCGCTGGGGGACTTTTTAATTCAAAACAATAATTGTAAAAATGCAGCTCTGCTCCTTTCCCTTCAGCCATGCTACTTAGCAACCAGTTTGCAGCAGTTTTATTCATTTTCATAATTTTTATACAGTCCAAAAATGTTCAATGTTCGACCATAACTTTACCCACTGTTGTCCCCCAATCCCACCCACCACCACACACACTTAAAAAAACAAACGTGTTTCAGAAAAAATTCCCATTAGCCCTTTCTCTTAAGTAAAGAACCTGCACACATCAATGCCAGAAGATTATTGTGAGAAGCAAACTTTTCCAAGTTGCAAACCAAACGTGTATAAAATGCATTCCTAGTGGCTATCAACCTGCATGTTGCCTCAGTGTCACATTGATAACAGGCCTATCAAATGTTACAAACTACTCCAGATTGAAGGTTAACTAAACAACCGTAACCCTCACTGTGTGTAAACAATGTCAAATGTTGGGGCCAACAATATCCTTCCACTTCCACTGTTCCAGCAATCTATTTCTTACTCCATTTCAGTTGAGTGGGCACTCAGACATCGGATCCACAGGATGCTCAGATCCTGTTCCCATCGGTAAATTCACCTATGTTGTCAGGGCAGAATTAAAATGCCTCCATTTTAATTTAAAGGACTTAATATATAAAAAAAAAAACATTACTTTTGGGGATGACTTCTACTAAATGAATTTTGTAAAGTTACTAAGTAGGCCAGAAAAAATGTTGCAATAATCCTGTAGTTTGAATATGAAGGCAATTGGATTGCAAAATGTTGGGGTTTTTTGGGAGGGGGGGGGCATTCTAAGTGGTTGGGACACCTACAGCATGTGCCAAAACGAACTGGTCATAATGTGCATGCCAGTGGAAGGGCATTCCAACGTCTGTTGGTGAGTGACTTTAATTCTGAATAGAAGTGAGAATAGGCCTACATTTAACTTCTGAGTCAAATTACATCAGCCTTCGAGGGAACGTAAACACTGTAAAAGTGATTGTTGAATCATAGAGCTGAAATTAGCTCTACTGAGTGGAGCGTTGAATTACGGGTACCCCTCCATACAAACGCTCCACCGATTTGCCATACTTTGGTAGCACCATACACGGTCGTCATGACGGTATGCATTTTGTGCATGCCCTCGCGAGGACAAGGCCCAAAAAAACTGATAAAGAAAATACAAATGAGGAAGACAGTAACCCTGGATAGATCCACACATTCATGACATTCCATATGACCCCTCAAATTGTTTCAAACAACCGGTAATTTTGAAAAAAGAACAAAATAGTCTGAACTTACCGCTCACAATTAAATGTGTCTGCCGAGTTGCACAGTCTATTTCACTGACATGACTGATGCATAATTCATTGCGCGCGTGTGTGACGTCACTATTGAAGAAAAACAAGTCGCGCTTACTCAATAGCTGTTTTATGTAGTCATATGTGCCCCGCGCCGTCTGACTGTGGGTTTTTGGTGCGGGGCACATATCAGTACATGAAACAGTCATTGATTAAGCGCGACTTGTTTTTCTTCAATAGTGACGTCACACACGCGCGCAATGAATTATGCATCAGTCATGTCTGTGAAATAGACTGTGCAACTCGGCAGACACATTTAATTGTGAGCGGTAAGTTCAGACTATTTTGTTCTTTTTTCAAAATTACCGGTTGTTTGAAACAATTTGAGGGGTCATATGGAATGTCATGAATGTGTGGATCTATCCAGGGTTACTGTCTTCCTCATTTGTATTTTCTTTATCAGTTTTTTTGGGCCTTGTCCTCGCGAGGGCATGCACAAAATGCATACCGTCATGACGACCGTGTATGGTGCTACCAAAGTATGGCAAATCGGTGGAGCGTTTGTATGGAGGGGTACCCGTAATTCAACGCTCCACTCAGTAGAGCTAAGCTGAAATGAAACAGTGGCTATAGTTAAGCCTACGGTAGATCAGGCATTTCAGTATTAAAGCAAATGTTTGACTAGTTATGCAAATAAAGGATTGATTAAACAATTTGAATCATTTGGAACTTTCTATTATAAAGTCTGCAAATGTTTAATTGGGCCATGCAGCCCTACCTACAGTCAACCATGATTAAGTTCCTTGAGTTTGCCTGAGCTTAAACCAGTCCAACCGTCTCACGATGACGTGTACATGGTGTAAGGGCAAATTACTTTTTTATACTTCGATCAATGCAAGCGTCCCCTTTTAGCTACTAAATTGGCGCACTGCGAGGTCCAATCTTAAAACAAAAGAAAAGCAACGATTAGGCATACCTTCAGTATCCCGCGGCTCACTTCTGTCATCAGTACTGCTAAAAAGTTCTTCCAATGTTTGGGGCTGAAAATCCAGACTCCTTTTGCGACTTTCTCCAGCGTGATCCACCTCGAACATGTCGCCGTAGAAAGCGGCATCATTCGCATCGCCGCCGCCAGCCGCCGCGCCGGCCATCAGTTCCAAAATCCTTCGGTTTTCAGAGTCGCCAAGCAAGTTTTGGTCGAAATCCCCATCGTCGTCATGCACGTTGCTTAAGCTGATGAAGACGACGACCTGGGAGATGAAAATGAGTACAAGCAAGAGGAGGTAGCTTTGACGTCTCATACTGGACTCGAATGACCAGTTAAATGGTGGGTAATTTGGCGCCACGTCGCGCGCTGGCCGGCCGGCCGCGTGTTCATAAGTTTGGTTTAAGGATTCATAGTTAGTCTTGGGTCAAGACGTTGTTGATTAATAATTGGATATGCGATATCCCGCCGCCGCGAGAGGGCGTTATCACGGGAGTACTTGTGTAAAAGTTGTATAGCACTTTCAGTTGCGAAGCACGGTCATTTTTAGGGGGGGGGGGGTGAAAAGGGCACTTGCACACCCGCGCTGAAATGTAGACACGTTTTTTTTTTCTCTGAACACTTGACCTCCGTAAAATCAAATAGTAGATACAGCTGGTACCCTCTGGTACCATCTGTCGACGGAGGCGTTCCTCCAATAAAAATGACCGTGCTACGCAACTAGTGGTTTATTGCTTTTACCTGACATGTCTAAAGATATAATTCAAATCACCAAAAAGTTATTTTGAGGTGTAATTCACTGCGAAAGTTACATTTTATTATCCAGCCTCTTTATTCAATAATGGCAGATTATAATTTGGCTTCATGAGATTTAAGAAGTTGCTGTGTCCAGGACCTTAACGTGTTGTTTTCTGTATCCCATTTTTTTTTCTGAAGCCACTTTTATCACTCATTTCATTTGACACATTTTAGCAATCGGCCGACAACGGCCAGGGTATTTTGCGCGTTCTTCTTCATTAATCGTTAGACCAACTATCTGACTGTGAAAAAAAAATAGCGCAAAAAAAAAAAAAAAAAAAAAAAAACGCCTTCATTCCGAAAAATCGATCATTTTCACCGGCCCGGTGATCAGAATACAGCGGTTGATCAAGAAAAACAGCGCCCTCTGTTGACAACACATGAAGAGGGGAATTGTCCTTGGCATGAAATAAAGGTGAACATTTCGCACAGGTAGGTTCTTTGTAGGCTTTTAATGGCACGTAGAGCAGCTAATGTCCGGAACTTTTTAGTAAAGTTTTATAAAGAAACTATTATTTTCATTACCTACCGGTATTTTCACATGCCAGACATTAACTTTTTTTCGAAATGTCATGTGTTTTAGTACCACTTTGGGGCATAATTGTAGCACAGTGTATTCGGGAAAAGGTCCTTTCTATTTCACTATGAAGTGGGGGAAAGCGTTCAAGTAAGATTCTGTATGACTTTCACTTTCAGCAAAACCTGGTTTCCCGATTAACTGTAAAAGCCTTTCGTCTCAATTTCAAAGTCTTTTTCTGTTTTTCCCCCCTAAAGAAACAAACTGGCCGAAGCTACAAAATGCGGATTTATTTTTAGAAGGATCTCAATTGCCCACTGATAACCTGGACCCCAATGCACCGAGACAATTCTACATCGAATCAGATTATTAAACAGTTAATGGAAACACATTTACAAGACGCGGCCCAGTGACAAACAAAAAAGTGTGACTTGAAGAGTTTCTCGGTCGGTCAGATCAGGCAGATTTTGCGATCGCATGAGGGAACACCTTACACCGTGAAACGGATAGCTTTTATATAAAAAAAACTTCCTTAGCCCAACATAAACTTTACTCACTACTTTAGTTACTGTACAAAGTACTTCTGATAATTTTTTGATTAAAAAATAATACTAGAAATAACATATTTGCTGATGTTCCATGATCGCCCTCTTTTCCTCTAAACTCAACAGCTGAGGAAATTGTGAATGCTGAGGCATTGTGAATCACATGAAAATTCCAACCGTTTGTTCTCGCAACCGGCAACGCAGCGCCATCTGTGAACATTTTTTGATTGCCTCGACATTTAGGCGGTCCAAAATCAATACCTCTTTCACTGAAGATAATCACTTTAGCAGCTGCTCGTTAGCTTCACACCATTCAAACCGGCTGATTTTTGCTGACAATCCGTATATTCGTTAACTAAAATCTGGAAAAGGCTTTCGCCGTTTTTTTTTAAAAAGTGGTTTGAATTCCGGAATGAAAAATGCAATTGATATCTCTCTGTTATATATAGAGCGTCGCTCACGCGAATGTTGGTAAAGGGCATAGTCTAAGAGGTGAAGTGCGAACATGATTCTTTGTTTTGTTCATGAGTTTAGTCAAACAAAACATTTTGATGGGACTATGACGAGCCTTTCCCTCCACAAATCCTACTTCCCGGATATATCCAGATCTCTAGCAGCAGCGGGGAGAGCTGCACCTTGTTAATATCACTGGCCAGCAAAAGCTTGAAGTCCTTGGGCTTCTGCGTGGCTGGACCCTCCACGATGAATCCTCACAAAAAACAATACCTATCTTGACTGAGTCAGCCTGGTAGGTGTCGGATTAAGTGCATCTTGGCCGCCATTTTGTCCTAAATCTGGAGGCAGATGTCACCAAATTCAATGCCGGGGCAAGCTGGTCAGCTCATGGAGCAGTGCATTTCCGTCCGTGAATAAGTTGTCCTCAGGGTACCTCTTCTGTTTTACCTTCCAAGATGATATGCATATTAATTTACATCACTTGCACGGAGGTCTATGCGCTCGCGCTAAGTGTGCCTCTTTGACGCATTCTGACCTTGAAGATGACCTTAATCCCATGACTCTGACCTTAATTTGACCTATACAATATATCCTATAACCTTGAAAATAACTAACCGCATATTGTCTTGTTACTTGGGATAATAAGAAAGGTGATTAAAGCAATAGGCTTTGGATGGATTGGATTGAAATGGATGGATGGGGGGGGGGGGTAGTATTTAATAGCAAATATTTTTACTGTGACTTGTTTGAAGTTTTGTGTTGGATAGACGCCGGAAAAACCAAAAAAAAAGACCATGATTATCATGGTCTTGTATTCTGGTTCCCTGACCCCACTTAAGATGAAACGGAGTAATTTATAGACGTCGGGAATTGTAAGGTCAGGGAACCAGTCTAGCTGGCCTTACCCGTTCATAGGTGTGTAATTGATTGCAATCAAAATGCGGACTAACTAAATATGGTTAATTGGGGGCAGTAATTGAAGAAAAAAAAGCCAGTTTTTTTCCAATGCTGTTCGGCCGAGCAGCGTTGGAAATTGATATTAAAATACCACTTTTCTTGAAAATTTCAGGACACCAGTTGCCATAATTTTTCAGGATGCTTTAGACTGTCATTCACTAACAGTCCAGTAAGGTATTTCTGTAGGGAACCGTGCCTAAGCAAGGGCGACCTCATTCGTTCTTTCTTAACTTTTATTCATTTATGCATATGTAGAGTGACGTACCCAATTTGCATTGTATCTGGGTTATTAACATAATTATTCCTATGTTAAACATTACTGACCTTTGTGCTTCGCGCACAAGGACGGATGATACCGTATCCATTCCTTGAAAAAGTATAGTCCAAGGTTACTAATAATAATAACTGTTGTTCCCTCATAATTTATATTCTTTACAATATTAAACATTGATATTAATTGTGTTCAAATGATGGTAGAACTTTACATTGCCAGGATGTGTATTGCCGATTTTTACTTCTTTTACCAGTACCTTAATGTGCTGAGTAGACGCTTAGGTATTCAGGAAACCCCCAGTGAGTATTTTTAGGTTTTATATTCATGCTTGTCAGAGAAATGACTGTTTTCCTTGTACATCTTTTAGCCTGTGTGTAGTGCGTAAGCTAATACATGCCAATGTCGTTGTTTTATATACACCATTGAATGTTCGTATTTTGTATAGTATTCCAGGCAATGGGGGTTTTTGTCAGCCGATGATTACTCAACCAGCTAGGGTGTTGCTGTTCGTTCCACTTTTGTGAGAAGTTATACCGAGTACCAAATAAATCATATTGCGTTTACTGCATGTAAGCCAGAGACAGCGTGCTGTTGTCCTGCGGATTTTGATTTGCTTGTCCCTCCTTGTCAGTGAGTGCTCGTCCGCTTTTGTTAGCTGGACCGACCTCCTTCCGTCCCTCTACATAGAGGTGGGACATTTTTGGGGACCTTCGGGAATTGGGGACCCTGTATTGTCCTCTAATGTTCAACGTCCCCCATTAAATGCAGGAACAAACTCATTACGCTATGCATGGATTAGAATGGATCGCTTGGGAAAGAAGTAAACTATACGCCATTCGCGGGAAAGCAACACTCACCGCTCATATGCCTAAAAGCAAAGTTCACCGTGATTCTTCAACCGTGACCGAATGCTTTCAGACCCAGGCTGCCAGTAGGCCTATAGTGCAAGTAAACAAGGCGAACAAAAGCGAAATTTTGCTTCACGGTGGGAAATACAACTACAAGTGCAATACACTGTAATTGAATTTCGTGTTGAACTTTAGTTGACCTTCTTTGCACACTGAATTCCTTTGTACAAAAAAAGGCTTTAAAAATATGCGTATAAAGTATGTATTCATGCTGAATTTCGTGCAATGACGTTTCTTGGTTGTTTGTGATATTGCTTATCATAGACAAGCTGATTACCCGATCATAGATCGGGTAGGGCGTAGTGTTGGGGATGAAAATGTGGGGAGTTAAATGTAAATGGGGGATATAGTTGAGAAGACATGCAGTTATAGAAAAGCAATTTCTGTGGGGCGATCTGAGGCAATTTCTGACCACTAAAACCACTTTGAGCAAAAGATCATCTTTTAAAGTTTTGAGTTTGGAGTGATTGAATCAGCTACATGTATTCTGAACAATAGAATAATTATTGTAGACTACAATTTTTATTCGGGGAAGAAAAAGTGGGGGGGGGGGGGGGAGTCAAACAGTGTCCGCTTTAAAATGTGTGTGTGTGTGTGTGTGTGTGTGGGGGGGGGGGGGGTTTCCCCCTTTCCCCTGTCGATTTACGCTCTTGATAATTATGTACCAATAGACACAAAAGGCACATGTAGAAGAGTGGCCCATGCAGAGTAAAAGGAGACCTGCAGTATTGTATGGCTTCATGCAACAGCTAGGGCCTAGTTGAAATACGTGAATAGTCTAGATTTGCACGGTAGCTAAAACGTACCGATAATTTATGCCTTGTAATAAGGTTGAGATTTTATGGGCACATGTATGTTGACAGCTTTGCTTTCAAAAGGTACATTTAACATCAAAAATCAAAGTTAAAAAATTACTATAAAATACCGTATAATATACTTGAATGTAAGTGATTAAGTCTTTAGCAAAGTGGAATTTTTGTATCAATTTCCAACGATAGTCGGCCGACCATCGTTGGAAAAAAACTGACTCCCTTTCAAAATACTGCCCCAATTTACACAATTTAGTCCACAACGCGGCTGCAAGCCAGCTAGTCTGGTTCCCTGACCAGATAACTCCCAGACAATTAACTTTCTGTGTTACCGGAAGTGCAAGGAAATTGAATATTATTAAGCATTTTACTACAAACAAAGAAATGGAAGTGTTTTGTGAAGAACGCCAAACACAAAAACAGCATGATGGCGTAATCATCAGCTCCAATGGCAAATTAAAAAACAAACCAATTGTCAAGATCATTTGATAGTAATGACTATGTTTCTATTACAAATAACATCTGGTACAATGTTGACCTGCTGCTTCCAAAGGCTGTGGCATCATGAAACCGAAAGTTGCGTGTTATTAAAACATACACATAAACAATTGTTATTATATCTAAATTTTCACTTCATGATGAACATGTATCCTCTCTGAACTAAATCAATACTCGATTGCACATTAACTGATCAAACCGGAAATATCGGGCGTGTTAAAAAAATGTGTACTCAAATTTATAAATCCGATAAGATGCATTTTGTCTTCAAATTAAAACAAATGATTTCACTAGAAAAAGCTCAATATCGTGCTCCATTTTTTGTTGTGACCAAAACAACAGTGTTGTAGTCGAGTACTTTTTTCCGAGTACTGCCGAGTACCTAGATCGCCGAGTACGAGTACGAGTGCTTCCGAGTACAAGAACAGGTCTCCGAGTACGAGTACTTGAATGTCCGAGTACAAGTACGAGTACTTGTACTTCCAAGTACGAGTACGAGTACGAGTACTTGTATTTCCGAATACGGCACCGGGTACATTATTATGCTTGAAGCCTAAAATTATGTGTACTGTTAATCACTTGTGATACAAACTAGGGTTCGTCTTTGTAAGCTTTTTTAATTATTTGAAATTAATTTTTTTTTTTTTTTAAATCGGCAACAGCAGGAAGTATTTTCCAAGGAAATGCCACACAGCTGAGATACAGACATGAAAGTTTAGGTCAACTGTCATTTCATAAAATTAATCTACCATGCTGTGCATTATTAGGTGTTGGGCCTTGAGCCCAACACCTATTGGTTTTGTAAGAAAAATGGAAACATATATGAACTTCATTTGTCAATACATGAATGCCCAATCCACCGCAGATGTAGTTTTTTTGCAATTACGTCATCATGACGTCATCATGGGTCACGTGACGTCACTTGAAAGTTTAATAAATTTAATCTTTGAAATTCCATGTAAAATCAACCGTGAGAGACCGGAACCGTTTTGTTTCGGTAATAACTCATGAACAAAACAAATAATGATGGTCAGACTCTATGATCTGATTATCATGCCTTGATTTTACGTACATGAAGTTGCTTGACCTTTACTTCCGGGGTTAACGGAAGGTCAAAGTTAAGTGAATTCAAAAAACCGAAATATATGTGAATATAAAACAAACAAAATTTCTCCTTTAACGATTCCAAGGGTGAAGATGAAACTCTGTACAAACATGCTCTAATGTGACATCATCATGACGTCATCACATATCAATCTAATACATTTTTTTTTCTCTCAATCTAATAAATGGTTAAACCGAAAGAATCTTGAATATCTTACTTATATCATACTTTTCCTGTCTTTGCATAAACATATTTACAACTGAATTTGACAATGTTAAGTTAAATAGTTTTGCGCCCAATAACCCTGCGTTTATCTAAAAAACAAAACAAAAAAACTAACAACAAACCTCTACTTCGTGTTACGTTTTCAGACTCGACGGAGTTCTATAAATGCAGGATATCACGTGTCATCACAACATGTACAATAGTGTCACGAAAATCTGGAACAAATAAGTTCTTCAACTTAGTGTGGATGTAAAGTATCACAAACATAGCCTACAAACATCTTAAGTTCTTCCATAATAACAGTCATGGGCATGTGAACATTTTTGCGTGCGGGATAAGCGAGGTTCATGTCCCATATAGGCAAGAAAAACGCCCCGATACCTCCAAAGGCCTCACGGTTGATGGTCTCAATCTGAGTTAAGATGTAGTCAGATATGAACATCGCGGCTTCCCAGCTTTTATGGTCCCTTGGGTGGGGTCCTTTGATGACGAAAGGTATATCGGGACATCTGTGCCGTAGATCAATGACAGCTTTCCTGATTAGACGGACTCGCTCGATGTAACTGTCCCGCGTCCATTGGGCGAAGTGGGCCCATGGACTGATGACTACAACGTAGTTGCAATCGGCATCGTTGAGTCCATTCAAGACATCCACCTCCTCTCTCATCTCGTTCAGCTTGTAGGTGTGCGACCCGATCACGTACGGGTGAAACTGAAAATACAAGGTGAGATTGAGAGAGTCATAGTGCATCTTTGACCACAATCTCTTGCCTGGCTTATCGACGGTGGCAGTGTCCAGTAACTTGATTAAACCATTCAGCCACTGATTCATGGTTGAATCGCCAAGTATCACAAGACGCTGCCCGCGGAGGCAGGACGTCAGCGACGACTTCTCCGTCCATGTCCCGAACTCGCACAAGAGTGAGTTCCACTTGTCATTCATCCAATACCCCTGGATTGTAGGGATCGGCTGGTCCGCCTTGCAGCGAGGCAGCTTGTTATGCTCAAGTCCTGACCCTGCATGTGTTAAAATAAGAATTGCAAACTCTTATCTTCAATACGTTATCTGCTCGCACTCAGTATTTTTTGTTTATGTCTATACGCTTGTATATCATCCTCTCAACGTTAATTTAAACATAGATAATGAAAGCTATATATAGACACAATTAAAACTAGAAAGCACTCGGAGGACTATCTCTACACACATTTTCGCGGAAATCCGTCCACACCTTTTCGAGTTATCCTGTCCACAGACAAACCAACCAACCAACAAACAAACAAACATCCCAACAAACCAACGACGGTGAAAACATAACCTCACTGTCGGAGGTATCTAGAGATTCGCGTTGAGTTACAAACGCTGGGTGATCGGGCCGAAAAGAACTTCATATGATATTTCCCAGTGTGAATACTTTAATGCCAGAACAGAAAAAGGTTCATGAAATTTAGCCTTTTCAGTAAAGCCATTCTGCATCTTTTGGGATATGAAACATATCAGTACATTTTATGTGCACGTTATTTCCGGATTGATGACGTGTGCAAGCTAAATACTATTCTGGTATAATTTTGTGGTACGAACACTATCGTCATTATAGACACTGATCAAAATAATGAAGAATAATAATTAAAAAAACTTGTGGTTGTCCAAATAATATATAGGTTAAATTTGATAAAAGTTTGACGTTCAATTTAATTTGACGCACTGCTAGAGGGCGACCTTTCGGGTGATGACGTCATCATGCTGTTTTTGTTTTGTTTTCGTTTTCAAGTTAAATTCAATTTCATTGCATTTCCAGTAATACCTGCACGTCCGGCGACACCGGAAGTAAAGGTTTGAGCATGGTAATAAGATATGAACACGGTACTCTATTTAGTTTAAACTATATTGTCAAAGTTTGCTCTTAAAACGCTCGTAATTGGATACCTGATGACGTCACAAAATTTATAACATCTTCGGACCGGAGTCCAAATTCATACCAGGTTTCATTATCACCACGTCGACAGTTTGGAAGAAATCATATAGTTTGTTTTGATTTGAGGCTCTTTTCTATATTTTGAATTCACCTATTAAACATCGTCCTTCCGGTAGACGACTCTGACTTCGGTAATCAAAAATATTTATCAAGGCAAGGTCTATCATTTCACAAGGTAGGAACGTGATCTTGCATTTTGTTCATTAGTTATAAATGACAGAAACTTGACATCTTTTAAACAAAAATCGTTTGTAATGTGATGCCTGATGACGTCATCATGACGGCAGAGTAACTGCACCACTCGGGATCATGGTCGCTATATATTAAAAGTTACACGTTTATACCATAAACCGTTTCGGAGAAAACCCGCGGTCAATCATATCAAGGATTGTGCCACCAACCTTCAATTCGCAATGTGGAGTTTGTCACGGGAACACCTTGCTCAAAATATGGCCTGTAACGAAAAGAAAAGAATGACGTCAAAATAAATGTATTGTATATCAAGCGATATAATGTCACCAGGTCTGTAGCCGGGGGGCAACCCCCCCCCCCCCCCAAAAAAAAAAAATCGGCCGCATCTCCACTTTCTCCTCGGGATTGTGTATTTCCATGCGTAATCGACGTTGTTTTTTTTTACACTTTAAAGGTTCACTTTATGATGAAAAGATCCAGTTGATGGTCAAAACTGGGATGGATTGAAGGAGAAATGAGAATTTGCGTCGGGACATGTAGACTTTACATTTGTGTTGCCCTTCAACACTATTAAAAAAAAAATATGTGGGGGGGATTGTTGTCCGCGGGCTTGCGAGAAACCGTTTGCCGCTTACTCCGGTGAAACTCGAACCCACAACCTCCTGTTTACTACCGGCAGCCCGTTACCAAATCTGAACGAATAGGCCTAAAGTGAAGACCAGGTGAATTTCAATGCTTCCCCTGAGTATACATTGGTTTCTTTTTGTTAAAACATTTTATTATTGAAATTGTACACACCATGCCAGCGCTACTTTTGTATGTTCTAAATAAACTTCAATGCATTTTCTCTTCTTACATATAGATTTTAAGCGTGATTCAGTTTTCGCGCGAAAAAAAAGGCATGGGGGGTAATACTAATTCTAACACTTATCAAAAGTACAAAATGTACTACCCACCTTTTGTATAAGTATTCCATACCATTGCCCAACTCTTTTGCTCTGTTACTTGTAGCCTGACGGTGAATGTTGAGTGCGTACAGGGACTCACAGGGAAAATCTGGTTTCTTGTCACAGAGAAAGACAGTGCTTCCCAATGCACGGTAGGCAGGGTACTCGCACTTCCCTTCCCACTTCCCATGGTGCTGCAGATAGCACACGGCATCCGTTGTTTTGCCTTTGAACGAATAACGTCCCAACCAAATAGCCCTTCGCTCCGAATTCCACACAATGTTTCTCAAGTGGTACACAGCCTCGCTTGCGTGGACCAGGATCAAGTTGAACTTGGCGTTGCCGGGCCAGGCGGCCAGCACGTACGCGTCGTAGGTACCGTTGCCGTGGTCAACTACATGTCCAGCGGTGCTCGCCTTGGGGTCTTTATCGGAGTTCAAAGTAGCGTACCACATGTCCCCGCCAAGAATGCGTTTCCTCCCGTTGAAATCCCTGCTCTGAATTCGGTAATGTAAGACATCCCCTACTTTGATGCTTCGTCCTACGTGTGATACCAGCTCGACATGTGTCATTTTGAAACTCGTCAACTCCATACTTGTCCCTCTCCCCGTGCTGTTCACGACTTCTATGTTCTTGTATGCCGTGGAATCCACATCGTTGAATACAGTCTTATCCCACGTTTTGAGGAGCAAGTTTTGATCCAATGCCGCAAGCTGTGTTCCGGGGGTTCTTGGTACCTGAGACTGGTCAAGAGAAAACTGACCACGTGGCAGTATTTTGGGCGGGAGAATCACGTTCTTCACCGGTGCAATCAAGTGGAATTGTCCGCTTTGATAGAATAGTGCCTGTAGTAATGTTCACAAGTGCAAAACAAGGGGGAAAATCAATAAAGGGCTTCCACAAGTAAACAAATAAATAAATAAAAACAAAAATCGGCTAGAATAAGTTAATAGAGATTACTTCCCAGCTGTAAATCGATTTACATCGTTATAACAAAAGTGCACGAACACTGATATGTGTACAACTTTAAAGTGGGCATTGTTCTCTACCCGACTTAAAAAAAAATGATGCATTTCTGTTATCTTTTTGACGTAGAAATGTTGTTGTTGTATTTCCATTTTTTTCTATTGAGACTTATTCAAACATCTTACACACTTTTTTCTTGTAAGACTTCTATTCAAATATGTATACGAAACCTATTTTTATCGACAGTCTCTATTGTGCAATAATTTACACTGCATTCAATACTATAGTCTTCGGCCTCTTCGTTTCTTTTCCCCTTTGTTCTTTTTTAGAGGTTGGGCCCATGCCCCACCGGGAGGCCGTTGCCCTTTGCGACACTGTATTAGCGGAACTTGTCATGAATGATCAAAGTGTAGTCCGACAGCCAGTGTGAACCGTGTTTTGTTGGATATATATGTTTTTGTGTATTCTACCCAAGAAGGTCATACTATTAAAGCTATAGTCCATCATTTGCAGCCATCCGAAAAAGTAACTGGGGTATTATTGTTGAAAAACATACTTGGTTGAAAGATAGTAAGTGGACTAAACTCCCTGTGAAATTAATCTTTCAGGCAAGCTATAACTTTGAAGTAATCAACGAAAGAAGGCCTTTCCAACGGTGCGTCCTAAGACGCACCGTAGGAAATTTTAAATTAGTAGTTCGTTTTGTTATTCGGCGCAGCGCGCGCAAACATTGGCACGACGCACAGGCGCGCGCGGTTGCTATAATTCGTCGGATCAGTGCGCGACATCGCGTATAGCTGCAATTCAAAACAATTCAAAACATGATTCAGCAACTTTTGATTTGAAATTGAGATCCTAGAATGCTGTTTTTCCCGGAATATACAGCTGAAGCTGAGCTGAAACTTCGTCAGGTTAGTTGTTCAGTATCCTTCATTAGATTTTGAACACTTTTGTTGCTTCAAACGAACAAAATGCACAAATTACAAATGAAGGACTATATCTTTAAAGAATCTGCATGATGTCATCTTCTCAGGGTTGGACAATTTTTGATATCAATTCGTCGATCGTACCACGATCTGACCTATCTGAATTTTTGACGAATTTGGGGTTTTAGCATATTCTGGTTATGCATGATGAAATCTTTATTTTCTGAAAATTTCTAATTCATTAGTTGCCTAATTAGCTTATTAATTTGATTCAGCTAATTAAAAATGTTGACCTATCGCTACAAAATGCAAATTATCATTTCACGAACTGACGCATCAAGAAAGGTCACTTCGTGAAACGCGTAAACAACGCTGTCAGTTTTCCACGAAGTGACTTATAGAGTCTGGTACCTGGACTTAATGTGGGCCCTATCACTTTTTTATGAAATTGAGTTACTAGGGGCCAGTCTTTAGCGTTATCAGAAACAATGGCGGCGTACACATGTCGTTTGATGGCTGAACGAAACTAGCAAGTTTCAACCGAGTTTCTGATTCTGTAAACGTCTGTAAGTATATTCCTTCTGTATTTTGATACTCGTATTGCAATATGTTTGTGTTGGGCTTTGTCTAAATACATGTTTTGCAGAGACTCGTGTGCATGATAGCACAAAATCCTACACTAATTAGCCTATTGGCGTACTGTAGTGTAGACGGTAGTGGGTAGTCATAATCAGTCAGAATAACACTTGAGTGGGGTTCGATTCCGAACTAATGCTTTTTAATGACGTCTCGGTTGATTTTTATGTTGATTCATTGACTGTCCTTTCGGGAAAATATTTATTAAATAAAAGGGCCAAACTAAGGTTGCTTTTTTAATATTATGATTCGTGATTGGTTTGGTTTGTTTGTTTGTGTTACAGAATGTGGATGTCTCTATGGTGGCCCTGAAGGGACATCGCATATCGCAAACGTGTGCGCATACGTATGCGATGTCGCGAAATTTATCGCGAATGTGTGCGCACACGTATGCAATATCGTGAAACAATTCGCGAATATGTGCGCACACGTATGCAATGTCGCGAAATTTATCGCGAATATGTGCGCACACGTATGCAATGTCGTAAAACAATTCGCTAATATGTGCGCACACGTATGCGATGTTGCAAAATTTATCGCGAATATGTGCGCACACGTATGCGATGTCGCAAAATTTATCGCGAATATGTGCGCACACGTATGCGATGTCGCGAAATTTATCGCGAATATGTGCGCACACGTATGCGATGTCGCGAAATTTATCGCGAATATATGCGCACACGTATGCGATGTCGTGAAATTTATCGCGAATATGTGCGCACACGTATGCGAATTTGTTTGCAATGTCGTGAATTTTACTGCATACCTTGTCGCATACCTTTCAGTAAAATTCCTAATGAACTGGGGAGTTGTAGCAGCTAGTCTGGAATCTAGACGTACTGTTAGATATAAATAGGGTCTGACTAATAAACCTGTCGAGCGCAAACTTGCTACTTGCGCAACTTTGAAATTTGCGCGCGCAAGTTTGAAACTCACGTGGTGTCATATTTCAGCCAATAAATATGCGCACGCAAATTTAAATTGCCGTGATTTGCAGGTGTTGCGATCAATTTGTACATGAACTGCACGTTCTATTAATGATAAATGAACTGCTGCGAACTGCTAATAATACCACCTAGATAAAATTACTTGATCTTCCCAGTAGATGGATGAAATGGATTATGCAATACAAATTCAAATTTATAAAACTATGTTGGGTAACATTTTGTTTTAAAGGGGTGTTATAGGTCAGCAGCACTCCCTTTTGTGCACTTTTAGAGTGGAAAATGGAGACTCCTGATTAGGGCCTTAATTAACAGCTAATTAGTGGACCGAATTGGCCCCCTCCAAAATTTGATCTTCCCAGTAGATGGATGAAATGGATTATGCAATAAAAATTCAAATTTATAAAACTATGTGGGGTACATTTTGTTTTAAAGGGGTGTTATAGGTCATTAGCATTCAGTTTTGTGCACTTTTAGAGTGGAAAATGGAGACTCCTCAGTCTCCTCGATAGGGCCTTAAATAACAGCTAATTAGTGGACCGAATTGGCCCCCTCCAAAATTTGATCTTCCAAGTAGATGGATGAAATGGATTATGCAATAAAAATTCAAATTTATAAAACTATGTGGGGTACATTTTGTTTTAAAGGGGTGTTACAGGTCATCAGCATTCAGTTTTGTGCACTTTTAGAGTGGAAAATGGAGACTCCTCGATAGGGCCTTAAATAACAGCTAATCAGTGGACCGAATTGGCCCCCTCCAAAATTTGATCTTCCCAGTAGATGGATGAAATGGATTATGCAATAAAAATTCAAATTTATAAAACTATGTGGGGTACATTTTGTTTTAAAGGGGTGTTATAGGTCATCAGCATTCAGTTTTGTGCACTTTTAGAGTGGAAAATGGAGACTCCTCGATAGGGCCTTAATTAACAGCTAATTAGTGGACCAAATTGGCCCCCTCCAAAATATGATGTGCCCAATAGAAGGTTCGGTTAGATGAAAGCATAAAAAATAGTACATTTATTGTATAACTTTAACATTTCGTTGGGAAAGTCCAAGAAATCCTTTCACTACAAACAGAGAGGCAACCACCTTTTACTCTATGTGTTTGAGATTTTGATACCGCGGTTGAGAACGCGGCTAAGAACGCGGCTAAGAACGCGGCTAGGTTTTGGGCCCATAACGCGGCTAAGTTTAGTTTGGTATGACCTTGGCCACGCTGAAATGTAACTGCCTGGTACCCAAGCTCCTGCCTTGAAGTATCTTGGGTATACAAAATGGGACCAGGGCCACTTGCGTACTCCCTAGGTCACTAACAAATTGCCCGCAAAAATGACATCACCCCAAAGGTATGCGACAAAGGTATGCAATAAAATTCACGACATTGCAAACAAAATCGCATACGTGAGCGCACATATTCGCGAATTGTTTCACGACATCGCATACGTGTGCGCATATATTCACGATAAATTTCACGACATCGCATACGTGTGCGCACATATTCGCGATAAATTTCGCGACATCGCATACGTGTGCGCACATATTCGCGAATTGTTTCACGACATTGCATACGTGTGCGCACATATTCGCGATAAATTTCACGACATCGCATACGTATGCGCACATATTTGAGATAAATTTCACGACATCGCATACGTGTGCGCACATATTCGCGATAAATTTCACGACATCGCATACGTGTGCGCACATATTCGCGATAAATTTCACGACATTGCATACGTGTGCGCACATATTCGCGATAAATTTCGCGACATCGCATTCGTGTGCGCACATATTCGCGAATTGTTTCACGACATTGCATACGTGTGCGCACACATTCGCGATAAATTTTGCGACATCGCAAACGTGTGCGCACACGTTTGCGATATGCGATGTCCCTTCAGGGCCACCATATGTCTCAGTGGTTAATTGCAGCCAAAAGTTTATACAGAGCACCATTCGTCTACATAATTGAATGAAGTTTTGAAAACGCTTCCTTGAAAGGAAAGTGATCGATTCCTGAAGCATGAATGTAAGCATTTTTTTTAACCTAAAGGTTATTATTTAACCTTTCATACTTTTGCTGCTTATTATTTTGGTTTTATACTGCCCGGCTTAGATCACGTTTTGTGCTTCGTTTCTCTCTTTTTAAATGTTAATTTAGTACTCCAGTCTTGCTACAATTCTAAAGTCAATGCAGATAACAAAAAGAATATAAATGGGGTGAACTGAAAAAAAGTTAAGCTCAGTTGCTATGATTTGCTTTAGTTAATATTGCAAAACATGTGAAAATCTAAAAAAGACACAGACTGCAAGGATAGTGACACCAGACATTAAACACATTCTGAATGATTTATCAATAATTCCCTTCAA